GACAGTCTGTGGCTTCTCTCTGAAGTCCCGTTCTTGTTCTGTTGCTGGGTTTTGAGGGACAGCCTTGTCTAGGCAGTGCCTGGGTCATGCGATACAGCTTCCACTTCCACGCTGTTGATCCAACAGTGCTCACTGGGATATCCAAACACTTGGATATTACTTTTCGTATCTTTCTTAAGTTGCATGTCTACAACTTTATCTCTAATTTCTTTTGGTCTCATTTTCACAGCTTTCCTTCAGATTCACAGTCTGACCAATATTAATTGAATTAAGGAGTCTTTTTTCCAGAAAAGGTCAGTTGTAAGATGGCTATGTCCTCGTTTTGGCAGTATCTTTCATCTGAGTAAACTTATGCAAACAGCATTTTTTGAGTTAGTAATTTTTACATAATTTCTATGTCTGAATTGCAGTCAGATCCTGACTCCAATGTTTCAACATCTAATGTAAAGCCTTCCCAGAAGAACAGAGGCTGTTACTGCAGCAGGGGGGGACAAACCCCATAATAATTCATTTGTTTTCAGAAAAAAGTTGGACAAGCAGGTTTCTACAAACTTTTGGACAGTGCAGTGTACATGGACTATTAGTTTCTAAGCTCAGTTAGTACATATCAGCACAGTAATGTGGTTGTCCTGGTGTACACTTCTTTAACCATCTGTCTGTTTTCACACCTTAAGTGGGTGCCTGGCACAAGAGCAGCTCTGATAAGCTTAACTGCTTAAGAAAAGGTATGTAATTATAGCAAAGGGTTTTTTTTAAAGGTGTTATAAGTATTGCCACTTAGAGAGATTTACTGAGATTGATTAAGATAAGACAAATTAAGAAGCCCCGTTCATGTTTATTAGGGATAGGTAGAACTAACAGTTGCTGTCTTATTTATTTATTTATTTAATTAATTTTATATGTATTTATTTATTTATTTGCATAGTTTAACTGCTTAAAATCCCAGGTGTATTACGTACTAAGACTTAGTAACTACAGAGACTTCAATGCAAACCGGTGGAGCTATTATAGGATTATTTTTTAAAACTTTTAAAATTTGAGGGGTTAGGTCAATGACGATGTTGTTTTATTTAAACAAATATTGCTGTCACTCTACACTTTCTAGGCTACTAGAATTGAGAAATCTTAGACATGCCGTGTTTGACCCTGAAGCAGTGCTGCAATCTTCTCCAGTCTCAGTTTCTTGTCCAAACAGAATTCAGAAATTCTGCCAAGGACAAGAGCTACAGATAGAAAATGTGTATGGGACATTTGTGGTGTTACTGTTTGCTTTCATTTGATGAGCTTTTTTTGAACATTTATCCCTTAGTGGTTTAGAGCTATTACTGTTGCTTTGCTATGCTTTTAAATGTAACTATATAATGACATTTACTTAGTTACATAATTAATTTATCACATTTACATTCAGGTCATGTCTGCACTTCTGACATTTTTTTTCTGTTTGTTGTGATGTCAAACAATGACAAACAAGACTATGGGCCTCATTTATCAAAGACTTTTAAGGAGGAATATCTCCTTAATAGGATGATAATGGTGAATTAGGCACCATATGGGCAACAATAAAAAAACAAATTCAAATCATAATAAAATATTTTCTCTTCTACTTACTGATGCAAATGTGACATCAATCGAATGTTTGAATTCTGCAGTTTTGAATTGTTTCATTGAGGTAGGAGAGAGAAGTATTTAAATGTAAAATTACATTCAGGGCTGGGACCACTTTTCATTTTGTTGATAATTGATAACTGCCATGACATCTATACGTTGAGTTTCTTTTTTTTCTTTCCCATTTGTTTACATGAGCATTCAGCACGATGATTCATGATATAAAACTCTACTCCTGGTTTTACTTCATTTGCACATGCAGCAATGAGTTGTTGTGCCACACTGGCACACTGCTGCACGCGGAAAACGCCATCAGAAAGTGTTTTTCATTCTAAATTTTAGGTTAATGCTGTAAGGGCCTTTTTAATTACTCTTGCAGGAAGAAGACTAGGAAGAAGAAATGTATTTATTAAGCAGTAACGTCAATTAAGTTATCATTTTTCTTTCAGCCAATGGGACTCAAAGACACAGAAACTGGGCAACAGCGCATTCTGCTGAATAAGTTTATCACTAACTCCCAGGTCCTGAAGCTCTGCAGCAGTGCCGTATGGGTGGTGGAGTGCGGAGAATTTAAACGAGCAAACAAACCACAGGAGCAACCATAAGCTTTGACATGAAAGATGCCATTGGTGTTAGTTTATGAACAGATGTTCAGTTAAGCACAGAAAGGGAAAAACAACACCAAAAAATGGAATTTAGAGGAAAATAACGAAGGGCTGTGGTGTTACCTTTTTAGGTGACAGCGCTGATGTTGCCCAAAAATACAGTAGAAACACAGAGAAACATGTTTTATGATTTAAAAACAGCAGAGGGACACTGGTAGGTTTTCCTTTTGGATGAGCAACATTGGCTGCCTCTTCCTCTGCCACTTCACCATCTTAAATGAGCTTTGGCCCAGAGAAGGCCTCTCAGGGCTGCTGTTTTTATATTCAATCATGTTAACTAATTAACCACCGGGTGTCTCTTTTTTAGCATTACACAACTTTACCAACCTAATGTTGCCCCCATCCCAACTTTTTTGAAACATGTTGCTAGCATCAAATTCAAAATGAGCATATGATTTTCAAAACATACAAAATTTTGCAGTTTCAAAATTTTGTATGTTGTCTTGGTACTATTTTTATTTAAATATAGGGTTTAAATTTTTTGCTCATCATTGCATGATGGTTTTATTTACTTTTCTTTTTATTAACATTTTATTTACATACAGCATCCCAACTTTTTTGGAAACAGGGTTGTATTTTCATTGTCTCTGGACCTAGCTAACATTAGCTAGAGTAGTTAGCCTGGTTAGTGATACAATTTTGATTTTCAAAATTGTTTTTCCAGTTACAATGAGTTTGTTGTCACCAGTGATAACTGTTGCTTCTAAGAGTTCAGAGGCTACATTTAACAGCACTCTTCTGTTGTTTTAAACAGCTTGACGGAACACAGCTAGATTTAATCAGCAGGTGCTGGAGGACATCCTAGCGTCTAAAACATTCAGCTGGAGTAGAGTCCATAGGAGTTCTGGCCTGAGTGTGGTGGATACAGGGCCAGTGCAGAGCAAACACAAGAATACATTTCCTCAGGACACACTCCATCAAAATTCAAGCAGCCCTCTCTCTGCTGGAAACCTCTACTTGTAAGCATGCAGTACCAGGCCAACAGACAAAGACTGGCTGGTATAGAAGGAATGTAGGCAGCGTTTTATTAGTTTTGTAAAAGAGAGAGAAGGAACTGAATGGCAGATTCAGAGTGAGGGATCAGTTAAAGCTTTCACACACCATCTCAGAATAGAGGTGTTTAAGGATTAGGATTTTACACTGTTGAATATATGTATAACCTATGAGGAGCCTGATCCTAGGTCATCACTGGGCTTCAGCTGGACCTCTGTATGAATATGGACCCTATGTTCCTTACCCATCTATCCACACTTTTTCATTCTGCCTTAATGGACTCTTAAAGACAGTAGAAAAAACCTGAAGGATTATAGGCAGATATTTACAAGGCAATGAAAGCTCTGAATGATCACTTTGATTACAGACATTTTGTATGTAGTTTTGAACATGCTGAACGATGGCTATTAACAGGTGCCTATAAGTAAGTCTTACATAGTAACTCCTGCTTTCCTCACCTTGGAGGATTACTGTGATTATTAATTAATTAATTAATTAATTATTATTAAACACTGGGCATACAAATCAATCTTTTAGTCTATGGGCATACGCAGTGTACACACAGGTATCTGTTGTAGCCTGCTGCTGACCAATACAAATCCAGCTGCCTACATGTCAAATCATGTAGATACTGTACAATTTGGTCATCTATACATTCAGCCTAAGTGAGAGGGCATTCTGTCTGAATGTCTCACAGCCAAACAAGGTTTGTCAAGAGCTCTTAAAGAAGATCCTGAATTTGAGAAATAGGACTCCACACTGTTGTATGTACATGATAGAATTACAATTCTACTCTAAAAGCACTGTTAAGGCTGGGAAGGGAGAAGCTTTTAACCACTTATTTAAACACATGAATGCCTCTCATGCATTTATTCCTCCTGTGTAGAAAGTCCTGCTGAACCCCTATAGGATATTTGAAGATAGAGGGTGCAGCCTGATCCTGAAACTTCAGCCCATCTGCTTTTCATAAACCTTCATTTGGAAAAAGAGAACATTGTTAAATCTGGAACAGGGTACAGACGAACGCTCTGGGAATTGTAGCTGTTAGCTACAAAGAAAGTGTTGTACGGTATTGAACTGACATTCAACACTGCAGCCCAACTGTCACGACCCAATGGCTGATCCCTGGCAGAACAATCAAAACTGAGGGCTTACAAAGACAAGCAGCCAGAAAGAGACAGCAAAAGAAGTGGAAGCTTCTTGGCCACTGAGATGATGAGTCACCAATCTTGTTTAAAAAAATTCTAGTTTACTATTCTTTACTGCCTGGTACCAATTAAAGTCCAGCTGTAAACTGACTGCAGCTGTAAACAAAAGTTTTGTCTCAATGCACACAGCTGTATTTGTGACTACCAAACAACAAATGGGCACCGAAACTTCTACTTCGCTCTCTTCAGTGTCAAGGTGTTATGAAGTACTTGTCCATCTAAAACCAAAACAGTCCACTGAGCAGCAGACACAGGTAGACAGTGAGAGACAGAGTTTGTGGTCAACCTGTGGTAGGCTCACATACAGCACGCAAACCTAGACATTCAGTGTTTCAATATTTGTGAGCCATTTCAACTTCATGGATGCTGGCTATCGAGTGAGGATGAGTTTGCTTGTGTGTTTCAGTCTTTTCATTTCTACTGTAGCTTTCCATGCTTCCACTGTCTGGTCTAGTTTGTCATTAAGTCTGTGCTGTGCCACTAAGTGTTGTTAATTTATAACATTTGTATTTTTCTGTGCTCTATTCAGCATCTCCTCAGGGCAATGGGCAGGCTAGAGGTTCCAGGAAGTCTGTCAGGAGCCCACTCCAAACCCTCTATGCTGCTGACTCTGTGAGTAGCTGTCACTCAACACACCCACCTGATGTAACACTGAATCAGCTGCTACACAGAGCTGAGATTAATCCAACAGTCATAAAACAAAACCCCTAAATCTACTGCAGATAATTTTGGACTTTTTGGTCATCACATTGTCTGGGTTAAAACTCGCAATGACCTGAAAATTAATTGAATAACAAAGACATGTAACATATTCTTTAGCATGAGAATAATGTTTTATATATATGTTGTAAAAATGATTTTATTAAGAGAACTAGTGAAAAGTATGAAAACTAGAAGATAATTAACAGAGAATAAAACCACAAATAAATATGTGAGGCTAAAATGTATTATTTAAGACTAAAACCTAGATTAAATTAAAATAATAATGATAATAATAATAATAATAATTTCATTAGTGATTTAATTTTATATATATACACACACAAACACACACACACACACACACACAAGTTTTTCAAAGACAAAAAACAAAGAAGAACTACTGAAAATCATACAACATGCAGATGACGTGAATATTGCAGAAGCAGTATTACATTGCATTTGGAAAGTGATTGTAGACCATACAGCTCTGTGCTCACGTTTCTGCATTGAACACTGCTATATAATGATATGCATGACTTGTTCATGTTTATTAAATTAATCTTATCGAGTGTGGATCTAACAAGAAGTTAGGAGTCTAACTTCCTTCTTTAATGTAGTCCTGTGCTAGTTTTCACTCAAAAGAGAGGAAAGAATTGTCAATAATGCTTAGTCTAGAGAGTCTCTGACATTGTTTATTAACAAGTAATTACTTACACTGAAAAATTCATCATGGTGGGTGATTACAATTAATCACAGTTTTGTTAATCCATATTTTCAAATAAGTGGTGCGACAGAGCTCAGTTTAAAATAAAACCTATATTAACAAATCCTTGATTAGTGCTAAACTCACCATAAGAGTTTCTGCTGTTTATTTGAGTTCAAGAAGTGTGACTATTTGTGACTGTATTGAGAACTGACAATAATGTCCGTCAGTATAGCAACATTTCAGTAAAAGAATTGGAGTATACAATCAAAATATAAAAAATAGACATAAAATGATATTGCTGGATATTATTGATCTGCATTTTTAGCTCCTTAATACTGGTATCCAACACCAAAATTTTCATTTCAGTCAGGCCCTAATAATAAGTAAAAAGACCTTCAGCTAGTTGGATCTAACAAGAGCAATGGAACTTCTTCCTTTTGTACACATTTAAAAAAGATGGTTCCTCAAGAGTTCTTTAGTAAAGACAGTGGTTCTATTTAAAACCATGAGTTCTATATAGAATCATTTCATGCTTAAAGGGTTCTTTGCATGGTGAAGTGGTCCTTCAGATTGTCAAGCTTGTAACAATAGAAGATCTGTTTTTGCTGCTATTTGGTGCTGTATAGAACCATATACAACACATTCTCCATCAGTCTGAAGAACCATTTCACCATGCAGAAAACCATTTAAGCATGAAGCATTGGTTCTATATAGAACTCATGGTTCTAAATAAAACTATTGCCTTTACTATAGAATTCTTGAAGAATCAGCTTTTTTTTTAAGAGTGTTCAAATGCTCTTCTCTCTCAAGTCGACATATAATGTAAATTTAATGTAATTTCATTAAGGCTAAGATTGTAAAACTCAATCATTTTAAACTTGTAAGGGAAAAGCTCTGGCAGTACTTTCGATTTTGTGAGAATTTACCTCATTCCTAACACTGGGAGAACATGAGCTCAGTGCCTGGCCCCCCTCCTCATCTCTCTGCTTCTGTATCTGTAGGCCTGTGTGAGAGAAGCTGTGCTGGGCTCCCAGCTTTTTTGGTAATAACTAATAAACATCTTTTACCAGCGTCATCATCTGCACCTTCAGACCAGACAGCACATGTGGGACACGTGTTTTCCACTCGTCCACATTTTTAACCAGTATTCACACACAGAATGAACCATTCTTTTAACTTTGAGTCCACTCTGCTGAGAAACTTAGAACAGTTTTTGTGTTAAAGTGTGGATGTGTACAAGGATCCTAGAAAAAGAACATGCGTAAGCAGTGTGTTCTAAGTACCCAGTGAGAGAGAAGAGTCAGCTACACGCCCAACCTGTTTTGACTTAAACCCTCCGGCTCAAGGGAAAACCACAAACTCCATAAGACAAAACATGTCTCAGGGCTAATGACAGACTGCAGTGGTTTTCACTTTGTTGCTGTTATTCCATATAATTTGTGGACAGCCCCACCACTGAGAGGTATAACAGGGTAAGATGGGCTTATTACTAATATAGGAACACCACCGGCAATCAAGGCTGTCGCCACACGACACAGTTTAGCTTACCAAATGCTTTCAGTTTACTGCAACACAGATGGCCGGACAGAGATCAAAGGCTCAGTATCATTTTCCTGTCTCTATTCAGGACAGACAGGTAAATAACAGCTCACGGTGTATAACTGGCATTGAGGAAAACATGTCTGACTCAGTGGGTAAATGGAAAACTACTCAGCGCTGGACTATATTAGAACGTATGAACACCAAGTGCTCCGCTGTGGTGAGGGATTGCAGCTACAGAGCCAGAAAACGTGTTTTAAACTCGTTGTTCATTTCATGGATACAAATAAATCAGCCCTTAAAAGCGTTCCATGCGCTATAATTATCAACCTGAATACTAAAGTCTTGCTATTGAAGATGCCCAGCTGAATTCCGTCCATTAGGAAAGACCTCCAGTGAATGATTTAACTTCAGTGCTAAAGTAATGAAGTAGTCCTCATTTGAGGACATCACATTTTAGCTTACTTGTGACCTACATTCTATCAACTTAGCCCTCCTATTATCTTTGGGGTCAGTTTTACCCCATTCAGTGTTTAATGTCTCTAAATAAATACTTGACTCCACTGCTTTTGCTTCACATTTAATGACTTTTCCTAATTTAAGGGGGACAACTGGGTAAACATAAAACTAACATGATATTTTTTCCAATGTCGTGTACACATTTTGTACATATCAGTTTTCTTTGGGATCAGTTTGACCCCAGGCTGTTTTAGTTGTATAAGCATAAAAAATACCAACATTTTACACACATTTGTTTTATTTGTTTTGGATGATATTGAGGTCACTATAACATGCACTTTTATAATCTTCAGAAAGCTTCCCTCACTTTAGAGCCCTGACCTTACAAAGCCATACCTGTACTATTGCGAGACCACTGATAGCTCACACAACATGGGGGGAGAGCAAAACATATTTCCTTGAGGTTTAAATGCTGGGTTTAAATTGACCCCAAGGATAAAAGATGTTAGTAATTTTGAGGTTAACAGGAGGGTTAAAACTGATTTCCTTGAATAAGAACAGAATGTGCTGCATTGTATAACGTGCTAAAACATTTAAAAAAGATGTCACCCATCTCAGTAAACTTGTTTTATACCAGAAGTGCATACAGAAATCGACATTGTGGTTTTTGTTTTGATCTTTAAATTTATTTACATTTATCAAAGTTTGTAGTTTGGCATGATGCATTAATATGATGCTTTCATGATATTTACAAGCTAACATTTCATCTAACATGGCAAAACATTGTTAACTCAGTATGGGATAGATTTTCTCTTTGTAAAAAATGCAGACAACATTTTACAAAAAGAAGAGTCAATATTGTTCCACTCAGCACTGATGACTTCAACCTGTTGAACATTGCCAAGCTAGTTTTTGTTTAATGTGAGACCAAATATTCTCTATAGAGTTTAAATCTGGACTCTGACCAGGAAAAAAGCATCTGTAAAATCTATTATATTTTGGTTTTATTACTCATGCAAGGACAGTGAAACAATGTTACTGTAAGGCATAGGCATAATAACAGCCTAGCAAACAAATAGTAGCCTATTTGAATCTCACTTCACACTCACTATTCAGCCTGTGTCTGTTTGAATTCAGATTACTTTGCACAACATTTTTACAGCATCATGCATGTTCCGTAATTCTGAAATGTGATGTGTTTCTGTGAACACAACTGTTCACACATCTCAGGATTTTGCACTTTTAGACCAGTTAGAGATCTGCAGACATGGTAACACTGTCACATTATTTGTATTTTGTAGGCTGTAGTATTTTGTGGGATGTAGTGAAATATGAACAGGCTACGTTATACAGAATAGATGCATTGTAATTGTAAGCTTTATCTAAAGAAAACAACTTGCAACTTATTTTATACCGGTGGCAGTTAATTGCTTTTTATTTTCAAGTCATATTACGATGTTCCAGGAAGTAGTTTGTACACATAATTTGACAAATTACTTCCTGTTTAAGGATGTTGTTCATTTGACATAGTTAGCAGGTGCTACAAGTCACAAATAGCAAGAGAAATTAAAATGCGCTGAACGAGGCTCTGTTCTCAGGAGGCCAGAGCCAGAACTTATGCAGCATTTCAAAAGCTCTGCTAAAGTAATGGGAGCAGGAGCGAAGCCAGTTTCTGATGCCGTGAATGAAGCACATGCAGGCAGTGTTGGCTCACTGTTAGTGCAGGAGATTGGCTTTAACTCAGTGTGGCTTTAACTCAGTTTGGTGCTGTTTTAAGAAAACATTGTCAATATAGGTTTTTAAATATACAATAAAACAATGACCACAGAGCAAAAGGATTTTTAGTCTCTTTATTATTATTATTATTATTATTATTCTCACCAACAGGTGAAATTCAGGTCAGGGACATCAGCACTACCCAACCACTAGAGAAGCTAGAAATGAATCTTTATACACTGTATATCTGAAAGTTTGTAGACACCCAACCTTTTTACAACATCCAGGTTATTAATAGGGAATTTGTTCCCCCTTTACACCAGATCCCATGTGTCAAACACAACCCTATCCGGCCCGCGAAAGTATTTTCATTTTCTACTAACAATAGCTTGTTTCACAATGCACTGCACTACAGTCCCCAGCATTCACTGCAACATAATGTGTGCTCCTACCCCAACAGCAATCTGTGGGACAGCGGTTACACCTCAATTCTACAGTTTTACACAGCTCCACACCAGTCATATCACCAAACAACTAACTGCAGTTCAGCCAATATAAACACCTAACCTCAGCTCAGATTCAATGAAGCAGAGAGAGCAAAGAAAGGACGCCAGGTGTCTAGTTCAAGCAATAGGTAGGTTTAAAAGACTGAGCTCCTGGGGACAGTTAAATTTTGAATATTTCAAGTATCCATATATTATTTCAAGGTTTACTACAAGCACCAATTTTTTTACTGTTGATGTTTTTGCATATTTTGAATGAACAATAGTCAGTTCGGTTTATAGCAAACCGTTAATTAAAAATGAAATAAAACATAGATGTTCTCTGGCCCACGGATTTGTTGAGATTTTTTAATATGGCCCTTTTGGTAGTTGAGTTGAGACACAACTGCACTAGATGTAGGAACACTGCTGTGAGGACTTGAATGCAGCCACAAGAGCATTGGTGAGGTCAGGTTCTGATGATGGATGATTAGTTCTGGATCACAAATGCCACTCCAACTCATCCCAGAGGTACTCGATGGAGGTGTAACTCTCTCTCACTCTCTTTCAGATGGACCCATCTCCCCTGCACCTGATGCACCAGGCCAGGCGCGAGCTCCTGCATGACGCCTGCCGCTCGCACACGCGCAAGCGTCGCGTGCTGATCCCGGACGACCTCAAACACGTGATCGTGGACGACCACCACGGTCTGCTCTACTGCTACGTGCCCAAAGTAGCGTGCACCAATTGGAAGCGCGTACTGCTGGTTCTCACGGGCGAGTCGGGGGACCTGCACGACCCTCTGCAAATCCCGGCCAACGAGGCGCACGCGCCTGGCCGCCTGCGTGCGCTCTCGGAGTACTCTGCGCCGGAGATAAACCGGCGCCTGCGCGCCTACCTCAAGTTCCTGTTCGTGCGCGAGCCCTTCGAGCGGCTGGTGTCGGCCTACCGCAACAAGTTCACGCGCAGCTACAACACGGCCTTCCACCGGCGGTACGGCACGCGCATCATCCGGAAGCACCGGCCCGAGCCGCGGCCCGAAGCGCTCGAGCGCGGCGATGACGTGTCCTTCGCCGAGTTCGTGAGATACCTCGTGGACCCAAGCACGCGGCGCGAGGAGCCCTTCAACGAACACTGGGAGCGCGCGCACGCACTCTGTCACCCGTGCCTCATCGGCTACGACGTGGTGGGCAAGTACGAGACGCTGCACGAGGACGCCGCCTATGTGCTGCGGCTGGCGGGCGTTGACGATCACGTGACGTTCCCTAGCACGGCCGGGAGCGCGCGCACCACGGGGGACATGGCCGCAGACTTCTTCAAGAGCATCAGCCCGGAGTTCCAGAAGAAGCTGTACGATCTGTACAGTATGGACTTCCTACTGTTCAACTACTCCACACCTGCATACCTGCAGCTCACCTGAGGCCTGGCGCCTTTCACTGACTCGCTTCACGAGGCACGAAAACCTAGTTTAGACTTAATGGTTTGATGGCACAAGTTCATTTTGCTTCTGGAGAAACTGTCTCCTCCACTGGGTTTTAAGTTATAAGGGGCTGTTTTGTACTGTTTAAACCTGTTATTAGACACTATTTTGGTGGACATTGTGCTAATTTTGCTTCTCAAGAAAACATTTGCTTTTCAAAAATTTCAGGAATGCATGATTCAGTCATGTTAACAGGATCATCAGAGAGGTCTGATGTGAATTTTAGAAAAACTTACACACTCAAATTTCTTCACAGTGGTAACGATGGGAACCAGGAGTCACAATGTCTCCAGTGCAAATATAGCCTTTTTATTTACTATTCAAACAATGTCTTCTGAGCTTTTATGTGTAATGTTCATGGTAAAAGAGTGTTTGTGCACACACACACACACACACACACACACGTATCATTCTGGATCACTGAAGCCTATGCCTGCGGAAGGCAAGAAGCACCCTGGACAGATCATCAGTCCATCGCAGGGCAGACACACTGACATATAAAGACACACATTTAAGGGCAGTTTAGCGTGTCTAATTGGCCTGCCACATGCTTTTGGACTGTGGGAGGAAACCCACGCAGACACAGGGAGAACATGCAAACTCCACACAGAAAGGGCCCTAGACGCCCAGCTGGGAATCAAATCCATGGTGACAGCACGCACTCCATGCACCTCTCTGCTGTGAATGTGTTTTTGAGCTTTTAAAGGCATTAATCACTTCAGACGTCTGGTTCCTATCATCACTACTGTGAACAATTATGACTCTTTCTGTAGAACAGCACATTTCACATTAAACCACTCTGATTACCTCGTAACGGTGTAATTATGCAGAAATTCTGAAAAATTGTTAGAATTCACCCACATGAGAAATAAGAACTGAGAAAACATGAGGTCCACTCTGTAGCATAGTCCACATTGAGATGAGTATCATTTGGCGTAGGCCAGTATTGATCTGCAAACTATTAACCGTAATTGCACTGCTATGGAACAACAGTACTATTCACCAAAAACTGTCAGTGGCAGAATGGAAAAAAGCAGTAGAAACATCTTACTAGGTTTTAAGTTGTTTATTCGTTTTTCGTCTGTTTTTGAGAGCCTTTTGCTGTATTAGCTTCTCAGTAAACTCCCTTTTCTGTTCTCTGTTGGACTTTGAGTTATAAAGGGATTATTTTCTAACAACTGTTGAAAACCTTTGTTATGATATTGTTCCGTAATGTAATTGCCAATTATGGGATTTCAGTAGTGGTTTGTGATGGAAATTAATCCTCATGTTCTCTGGATTCTTATTTATCTATGCACACTATGCACACTTATGAGGGAAAAGTGCTTTATCAGTAAACACTGCCAAGAGACCAGAGGTACCTTTGCTTCAGACAGACTTAGGAGTAGCATACGATTGTTGTTCATAGTCAAGTTCATTTTCACTTGGTCTCAGTTGACAGAACACATGTTATGTTGTACTTGGACCTCCCAGCTGATGAGTTGATGTGGATATTCTATCAGGAAATTTAGGAGCATCACTTTCCCCTTATTGCTTGATGAAGATTTAAATGCTTTCCTTTCTAAGATAAGGATACGGGGCCTCTGCTTTGTCCACAGTGGAGATCTAGAGTTCAGAACCGGGACAAAATGCACTGCCTGAACTGGATCAAGTGCTTTCTTCAGGCAAAAACAGAATGTTCTTCAGTATTCTACAGTGCTCACACTGACTGTCCTGACCATCACACATTGTGTAGAGGAAAGTTCAAGAATTCCTTCAAGTGCTCTTTACACTTCATCTGCTTTTTCTCAGTGCCTTAAGGACCAGAAACAATTACTGAACAGAACTATTACTGTCAGACAGAACAGGGTCAGAAAATCATACGCCCATTCATGATACTCCAGGGCAAGGAACACTTACAGTTATTTATTATGAAGTTTAAGTTTGGAGAAACACTGCTGTTCTCATAGGGTAGACTTAGCATTCAACAGTTCCATTATTACACATCAACTCAAATAAACCAGGCAAAGCAGGTTTGTGTGTGTGTCCGTTTTTGGGCAATAACTGTCTGTGTGTATGTGTGTGTGTTTACATTGCAGTGCTTTGTTTTCATAGGAAGTGCTGATTAAATTAAAGGGACACTGACCGAAAACAACCATAAAAGAATGGATTACTGAAATGACAACAGGCTAAAAGCTAAAGTTAGCATGGTAGCTGCCTCAGCTCAGTTTGACTCCTTTTCTGGCTAAATGGGTAAAACACTTGTCTCTGGCATCCATTTTGTGCTGATAAAGAGAAACACTGTCTTCTTCATGATCTGCTTTGTAGCGTATGCCATTTGGAGAGCCCTTTGGTTTGCAGTGCTGTGCGGTATACATAATTTTTTTGGCAGCATATTAATGTCCTTTCTAATAGCCACTAAACTTTAGGCAAAGTTCAACATGTTTCTGGGGAAATGATGAAAAACAATACCGTTGCGTATTGTGCTCTTTTTCAGAGAGATGAAAATGGTAATCATCTTGCTTATAAATGGGGCATTAACGTGTTATCCAGTACGCTTGCTAATAGTTCTGGCTTTAATGTTCACCTCTTCATAGTTTCCACATCCATGTATACTGCGCTTGAAATGAAAACCTAAATAGTGTTCCAAATGTTAGATAGAGAGTAGCACAGCTAATGGCTTTCTATTCAACACATGAAGCACTATTTATGTATAGAAGCCATTATTTCATAATCTGCATAGTGCACTACATAGGGAGTAGGGAGCCTTTAATGAATGGGTATCCAGTTAACTTCATTGAGAAAGAAACAATGCCAAAAAACGATGAAAATAATGTAGGGCTGTAGGCTTACCTTTTTTAGGTGACGGCACTTATGTTGCACAAAACTATAGCAGCACACAGAGGAACATGTTTTATTATTCAAAAACAGCAGAGGAACACTATGTTGGATCAGTAACTGTTGGTGCCCTTTCAAATTAGCTAATGAGCTAACAGAACTAACAAGTGTCACGTTGGATGATGATGAGGACTCATTGTCTTCTACACAAGATATTTTCTCCTCAGTGGGTGATGTGCCAACATTTTATTTGAGAAAAAAATATTTTCATTGTTTTGGAGCTAGCCAACATCAGCTTAGGTAGCTAACCATGTTAGCAATACAGCCATGCTATGTCTGCCTTCTCAGTCACGTCCTTAATAACACACTCATCTTCGGGCACTCGTGTTTCAGAGTAGCAAAGTGTAGCATAACAAATTAACTCAGAAATATGAGCAAAACTGTTGTGTTTCACTGAATTGTTAGCCTGCATATTTTCTCCCTTTCCGCAATGAATGTAACAAATACCTGAATGTTAATTTTAGTATTCTATTACCCTGATAGCAAGAGGACAGTGGTCCACTGTCGGTCCGCTAATGGCAAAGCTGGCGGTCCGCTGGCGTTGTGCTCAGCGTTTTCTGGGCGGTCCACTGGCGGTTAAGCAGAGTATTAGACAAAAGTCCACTTATCATCACTCATTTTCCACTCACAGTCCAATTCTTTAGTTACACTTTGATTAGTAAATAACTTTAATCTAACAGAGCTTTAGCAACAACACTTTCTATAGAACCATTTTATATTAGACCTAGTCATTTTTTTTTCTCTTGGTTGTTTGTAAAATTTGTGTAAGTTTCTTTTCTAAAATAAAAGTCACTGTGAATTTAAAATCTCTTTGAGGAGATTAAAAACTAGGTAGAGCTTGTATACAGGACAATAATCTGGGCGGTCCAAGGGTGGACCAGCAGTGGCAAACAGTCAGTGGGGTGCCAAGCTTTTCAAACCAGCGGACTGATATATGCTTGCTGTCTGGGTTCTAGCACCTCGAATAACTGAATACTCGTGCACAGCATAGCTCCAATCACTCATTACATTTTGTGAATGTTCATGATAAAAGGACAACAAAAAATAGTCTAAGATTACTTGGAATAAAATCTTGTTATATTAACTTACATTAAAGTTATGTCATGCCACAACAACATTAATCCAATGACTAACATTTCAATGCCTCTTGAAGGTACAGTGTGTAAGATTTAGGGGGATCAATTGGCAGAAATGGAATATAGTAGACAAATGTTTACCATAGTGTACCATGTTTTCATTAGTGTATAATCACCTAAAACTCCAAATCGTTGTGTTTTCGTTAGCTTAGAATGAGCCCTTCATATCTACACAGACAGTGGGGACCTCTTCAAACATTGCGCTGCCATGTTTCTACAGCAGCCCAGAATGGACAAACCAAACACTGGCTTTAGAGAGTGCCTTTCATGTTTTTACATCAAAGCAGCAGCTTGATGCAGAAGATGAAGAATCAGTTGCTGCCACTGCTGGCTAACCATTTTGTATTGTTAGAAGTTTGAGAACCCAAATTTTTGACAAGTGGAAGATCATATTTGTTATTTAGCACAAGAAAAAGTACGGGAGGGTGAATCCACGCCGTCAAAGAAGTGAAAACATGAAGAAGCAAAATGAAATCAGGACAGGTGACAGCAAAAAATCTGATGGCCACCGTAGGTCCTACATTACGCTTGAATTGGGAGGGGTGAGGGAAGAGTATTGAGTTGGTTGTAATCTGCAAACTCACCACTATACCACTAAATCTTGTGCACCTTTGATAGACACTGATATCAGTAAAACTGAATTGTCAAAATTATGTTCAAGCATAAAACTTGATTTATAAAACCGGTAGTTCTAGTCCTAAAATCAATGAGCCGCATTCGAAGCCATTGTAAACATTGTAAAAAACTGAATTCTGCATTACTATGGCATGGCACGAAAAAACCCTTCTGCTGTTAATGGAATAATCTCTGACTCTAATGCTGCTCACATGGAATGCCAAGTATATTGATGAGGTAAGAATCAGTTTTTTGTTTAAACTGAGGGGCTTACGACTTATGTTCTTAACTAGAACTAGGCTGGTCAACTAGCTAGCTAACAGGCTAATGATAGCTTACAGCCTGAAAAACTCCATCATTAACATCACAAGCTTGGATTAAAGCACTGGCAACGGCAGTACAGAAATCTAAAAAATGTCACTTGAATGGATTACATGCTTCAAATGTCTGTGTTTCAGTCGGAAGTCGCGTCAAACCCAGGCTGAATCCCAAACGACTCTGTATTGCTTTTATAGTGTGCTAGCTACGAAAGTTTAGAAATTCAAGCTGCTACAGCCAAAAAGTGCATCAAATAGTGCATTTATCGAGTATGGATGTGGCTGAGTCCCAAATGACTATGTCTTAGCTTTATTTTGCACTGTTGGTGTGCAGGATCCAGTATTTAAATTCCTACATAGTGCACTATGTAGGGAGCAGGGAGCCATTTGGGATTCAGCCTCAGCACTAGAAGAGGGGTGCCGCTGGGTTGGTGCTAAATAAGACTCGCGGTGGTAATTTGGTGACCAAGAAGTACTTATAAAGCGAAAGATTTTTCATTAAACAGTGCTATGTTATCATATTTTCATTGTTATACGACAAAAAATTTAAACATTCTCCTCATTCAGTGGTCCATGGTTGCTTGGCAACACTACCGTAAAGGAACTACATTTTTGGCTGAATTTTTGTTTATGTTGATTATTAATAATAATATTAATAATTTTCTGAAACAAATGTAGATTTTCTCATATTTTATGTGCTGCCGTTTTATAAAAGCAATAAGCCACAAGAGGCCCATGTGTTACTGCTATTTTATCACAGGGAAGGGAGTTTTAAGAACACCCTTCCCCATGATAACATCGCAGTAATGCATGGCCTCTTGTGGCTTATAGCTTTAATAGACTTTAGGTATGATGGGAAAAATATTGCAACAGTGCAAAACATACCAATGCATTTTACAAAGGCTTATAGCTTACAAATATTGGAAAACCATTTCAGTGAGCTTTAGACATTGTTTTATTGAATGGGTTGACCATGAAAAACTACATCTTCTGAGATGGTGTAAGACTTTGCAGCATATAGAACAAATATATTAATGTATAAAATATAGAGTAACTCAGTCATCTCCTTTGCATAGACTATGACAGCAAGTGCAGGCAACTTAATTTGTACAGTTAATACATCACAGTGCACTGTAGTGAGTAGCTTGTCTGACATCACTTATACAAATCAGCAAAAAGGCACACCATTAAGAACAATTTTTCCCTATCAGTATAAAGTAAAACATTACACGTGTTATTAACAGGCTACATGCTAGTAAGAACAGTGCTGTCTTATGACTGTTACAACTAGTAGTTACATTGCCTTAGTGATAAAAGCATTTGTTTTGCTTACAGTGTAGCCAGGTTATTGCCTAACCTAGTTTAATCCAAACATTTAGAGTGGAGCTAATGTAAAGACTATGTTGCTAACCTTGTGTGATTCATTTTTCATTCTTGATTGCCTTGGTGAGAGGCCTTATCAGTCACTTTTTGAATTCATTTCCAGTAAATAGCTTCTGCTGAACACTGTAATGATGGCATCGATACAGTGCAGACTGTAAGAAATCAGCCATCTTTGTGTGCTTTGGCTCTGTAACCCTGTGGAATGGATTTAAAAGGAGGAGACCAAAGGAATTAGACATTTAGCCAAAAAACCCAAACTCAGTCAGAGATGAAGTTATGTTAAAATCAACAGCTTGGTAAATGTGTTTGGCTGGGAATGAGCTGCTTGGTTTCAAAAGAGCAAACGACTTACAAATGATATACCAAAATTTTGGATGGCCAAATAATGATTTCAATCACAAAGAGAAACCCATTTTTAACTGTGGGACAGTCCACGCGTGTCTAGTTGTTACTTACAGAGTATGATGAACTCTCTTCAGCTTGTAGATAAAGAGGTTCAAGGACTACTGAAGAAAAATGAACGGAATGACATTCATTCTATTCATTCCATTTCAAATCCAATGTACAAAGTAGAGAGCCAAAACAAAATGATGTCACTTCATAATTATTTCAGATGCGCTTTATATGACTCAAAACTGGCTGTTTCACAACTGTATGTTCTTCCTCATACTGTGCAGTAGTGCACTATCAACATACTCTGTAGTAATAGAAAACAGTAGCAACAAGAACTAGAATTTTCCACTAAAGTATTAATAAGTAGAAGTAATAATATTAATAATTGAACCAATAATAATTGAACTAATAATAACTGAACTCTAGTTGATACTGAATTAGACGTGGAAGTGAAGATTCATGGAGGTCTATGAGATGGAAGAATGATTCTTATTGCATTCCTGTTTTTCAGATTTTTCAATCAAATACAGCATTTCTTATTTCTTATTTATGTCTCTGTCTCTCTTTCACTCACATATGCACTATACATTAGAATCAGACCACAACTGGAGTTGATGGATTTGCATTTAGTAAAAAAAATCTCCCTCTCTTGCTCTTTCTGGAGTCAGGTTACTCTGAAAGTCAGGGCGAGGAGGCTGGTACCTAGCAGGTCTCCCAGCGCAGTCAGGTACGGGATGGAGAAATTATCAGGGTCCAGACCACGGCGCCATATCAGCCGCACCAACACGTCTGCAACGTAGAGCAGTAATAGCACCTGCAGCATGTGGGAAGGGACAGAGAGGGAATGAGAGAGAGAAGGAAAGCTGTGTGCTGTGAAGAAGCGCTACAAGGCTCTAGTTTCGCTCGCATATGGCTCTTATTTGGAGCTGGGTGTAAGCCAGGTTTTAGTAACAGTAACAGCTTTATTACTGCTGCACACCTCACAGCATGCCAAGCTTACCTTGTTTCTCCATTTCAGAAATCACTCATTTTACTTAGTCTTGAGTGAGTGTCTGTATATATATATATAGTATAAGCCATTTCAGAGTTCTTTAAAGGGCCCATATCTTGCATTTTTCTTGTGTTGAATTTCTTTTCCCTGAGCTCCACTTATGACATTTGTGTTTGTTAATGAACATAATTCATTTCTACATGACTACTTTTACAACCTATCTATATCCCTTAGAATAAAACAGACTGTTTTTCTTATTGTGCAATTATTCTGTGTTCTATTGTGCTCTGTTCTGATTGGCTATTCTGTATTGTGCCTCATTCAAAAAAGAAGTCTGGGCTGAAACCCTCCTTATAACTTCAGCATAAGTGGGTGGGGCCAAACTGCTGTGGTCTTGATAGAAGGATATATGTAAATGCATTGGTTTTCATGAAACATGAAAAACAATGTTTTTGCAGCTGGATTGCATGGCGAATGGTATATTTTGAAATGTTTACAAACCACATCAAATGCCTGCCAAAAGAGCAAGGAAAATTGAATTGATATTAAAGGTCATAGGCAGAACTTTTAAACAAATAAATAAATGTGTATCTTGTATTTTTTATATAAACCTTAAACCACTTGTGATTGTATAGGAGAAGGAGAAAACGTTCTCAACTTTAAATGGAAGTTAATGGAATAAGATGGAACAAGAAGTGATTTTAAACCATTTCTGTTGGTCTGTCTAAATTTTAATGCATTGTAAAAGACAGCTGGCAGTTTCTTACACCAAAATAGTAGTGTTTAATGAGCTTACAGAAAAATAACCATTGTTGTTACTTAGTAACTGGTGTTCAGGAGAATGATACAAGTATGGAGATAAAAATAAAATGCTGTCATCAGACATAACAGGGCCATGCAAAAACTTTCTGGGTGGGCAGGGCCTGACTGTGATACCTGAATGTGAATTAAATTTAAGTATAATTATATGTAATTTAAGTAGTGGTAGGAGCAATGGACTCTTATGGGCAGCCTAAAATATAAAATTTCTTGCCCGAGCAAGAAATAACAACACGAGTGGTCCCTTGTATCATTCAGCAGGCCTCTCACACACCTTAGTGTGCCCCTGTATGTGCGTGTGTGTGTGTGTGTGTTTGCTTCTTTGACCCCTGACCTGCAGCAGTGCAGCAAACAGGTAGCAGCAGATGAAAGCAGGGGTCATGGTGGAGTGGCCCCCCTGCAGCCAGTAGACTGTATGGAGGAACAAGAGGTGGCCTGGAATCACCAGCAGCAGCAGAACTCTAGCAGATGTGGAGTTCACTCCTAAACACAAATATAAAGAGATATGATAACAGACATTAGCTACGTTTAAAAAGAAGTCTACAGGGCTCCAAAAGTTGGCTCCATTAACCTTGGCCCTTTGTGATCTGACCTGAGGAGCAGAAGGTCCTGCCGGGGTGAGGACAGTGCTCTTTCATGCTGTGGGGTAAGATTCCAGGCAGGCTAACACAGTGCAGATAGGTAGAGATGCGACTAGCTTGAATCCCAACTAGATTCCCGCCTACACCTGAGACAGAGAGAAATAATGATGTAGCGCCATTTGAAGAAAGTACAGGATATACGAATGATGTATTGTTAGTAATATATAATCACGAGTAATGCTGTAGTCTCTTCTCTGAAAAACACTAATCATATTGCTAATACTGAATGTGTAATATGACATCTCAAGCCGATTAGCATCATTTACTGTATGCTTTAGCCATGTGACGGTGTGTTTTTGTGCAGAGTGAAATCTATGCTAATCTCTGCAGTTCATTTCCCTCTAAAGAAGACTCTGGCTGTAAACACTTTTGACTGTAAGTTATTTAGCAAATGTTGAGATGATGTTCTGGAAGCTTTTGCGAAATGCTGCTACATCTGCAGGGTGGTATTTCTGAAGACATGCTAGAAAACTTCAGGCCAGTGGGAAATGATGATGACCTGAGCTGAGCAGGTGAAGTGTAACGTGAAGTCACTAGAGCGCAAGCGGCCTAATGAGGACATGTCTGAACAGCCTGTTCACATGACCGTATAGATCTACATGCCAAGTCGTTCTTTATCCCTCAGACTCAGCCTATAGCGGATCTGAGGCAAGTGGCAACAAGATTAGCACTGTTTAAGAATGACCTCACTGAACTTAAGGTGTGATGAAGGACAGAAGAGAGGAAGCGAAGGGGAGAGTGTGAAAGAGAAAGAGAGAGAGAGTGTGTGTCAGAGAGGGTAAGCCACAAAAAGTAAAGAAGTAAGCAACTGAGAGATTGAGAGAGTGAGTATGACAGTGAGAGAAAGAGGAAATAATAGTGAACTAAATTGAGAGAGAGAGTCAAAGGCAGAGATTGAAGGAGAGAGTAAGCTAGAAAGAGAGGTAGAATGAGAGAAAGAGAGGTTCAGAGAGTAATCCAGTGGGAGAGTGTCAAAGGTAGAGAATGAGAGGGTCAAAGATATAATAAAAGAGAGAAGAGAGAGAGAGAGAAAATGAAATAGAGTAAGTCAGTGTGAGAGAGAGAGTCAAAAGAAGAGAATTAGAAAGGGAGAAAGAGAGAGAAAAAATGGAAAGAGAGGGTCAAAGACAGAATGAAAGAGAGAGTATACCACAGAGAGAGAGAGAGAGAGAGAGAGAGAGAGAGAGAGCTAAAGACATAAGAGGAGGGTCAAAGAGAGAGAGAGAAAGAAACAGAGAGACAAAGACAGAATAAAAGCGAGTAAGTCAGAGCAAGTGTGTGACAGAAATTGCAAGAGAGAGAAAAAGGGAGGAAGACAGAGAAAGCAGGAGTGACTGAAAGAAAGAAGTCAAAGAGAGCCTGAGCTGCATGAGAAAACTGAGCAAACTGAATAAGAGGAAGGGGAGTGCAGGGAGATTGCATGATGAAAGAAAGAGAAGTGGGCATAGTGGAGAGAAGGAAAGGAGGATTAACAGTGTGCTAATTAGTTACTGAAACACTGGCAGAAATAGAGGCAACAAGTAAACAAAGAACAGCAGACATAGTCATAAACAGAAAAATACTTCAGTTAAAACTCATTTACATTCTCAAAGTCGTACAAAAGCGAAGACGAGGAAGGCAGAATCCAGGAACATTAGGAGAAAAACTTACGCAGAATCTATCTGTGGGTCTTTGTGTCTCTGTTTCCCCCTAAATTTAATACATTCTAAACTGCACTGAGATGTGATCTATGTAGGAGCTCCTTCTAATCTCTTGCTCAGTATTTAAAACTACATCTCTTTAAATCGCTGTTTTAGCTTTGTGACCTGAAATACTAGCTTACTGAAACAAATATAATAAGACGTGCCATTCATTCTGCTCAGCCATGTTTATAAAAATGCAAACAAACTCTATGTGGCAGCACACTGTATTAAATAGAGAAAGAGATTTATGTTAATAATCTCCTAGACTCTCTTGGCTCAGTGCTATTAATCATTGTATATTATCTAATAATTACGCTTTTACTTTTGTGTTTTTCCTATTGAGCAGATTTGGGGAGTGAAACGATTGGGAAATACTTCTGTGGCCCAAGGCTGGTGCACTTACCGTTAATAATGGGTGTGAACACAGTCATGCCTTCAAACTGAGGGTCACTTACAGTCTTATCCAGAATCAGACCTCCGGCACTGTGGACAGACCAGATAACACCTTCCTTACAGTTTTGTGATGGTTGCTAAAAAATAGGTGTCATTTTGGAGATGTAGGAAACAAATTACACTCAAATCTTTATTTAAACTCTGAATGCATTGAAGGAGCAGCTTAATTCATAATGAAACCACATAAAACTGAATTAAATTCCCTTGTTTCATGAATTCCTGTGTACTTGGATGCATTGTAAATGAGGGTTCTCAGGGTATTCCAAATTTCAATAAAAGTTAGTCTGATTTGAACTGTACTTCTTCTTATCTTTCTCTCATCTCTAAAATGACATGATGGTGGTCTATGGACAAACTGCAGTGTTATTGTAACTGGACAGACCAAGCATCGTTCACGAGTCATTACCTGCTGATTAGCATGGCAGCGATCACAGGGTGCCAGCCTGACCTCAGCACCTCTCTGATTGCTGGATTGCGGCGAGTGATGACCAACCAGAGAGGGATAAGCAAGAGGAATGTGGCACATGTCACTGTAGACACATACCACAACTCTATAACAGAACAGGAAACTGACAGTTAAAGACGGTTAAAGAACAGCTCTCCAGTGTACAGACTGTAGGGTTCTGTTATTGGTGGGGAGCTGTGTACAAGCAATTGTGAAAGTTTCTGAAGACCACAGTATGTTGTAATAGAAATGTGGCCTGCAACATATTACTTTCATCCTCTGCTGCCTTCTAGTGGTTAGAGGGCAGAAACACTTCTTTAAGGCTGTTAAAACAATCTAAGAACTGTCATTATAAATCATGTCAGGAAACCTCAGTCTCAGCTGATAACAGTGACCTCAAACTAAAAGTCAAATTGATCCTGAATCAGCACTCCTACTCTGAGATGCAGTGCAAATACAGGCCTGCACTAAATGTCATCTAAATTTCTTAGGAGAGATACACCGATCAGGCATAACATTATGACCACCTCCTTGTTTCTACGCTCATTGTCCATTTTATCAGCTCCACTTACTATATAGGTGCACTTTGTAGTTCTACAATAACAAACTGTTGTCCATCTGTTTCTCTGCATACTTTATTATGTGTTGTGCTGGTACGAGTGGATCAGACACAGCAGTGCTGCTAGAGTTTTTAAACACTGTGTCCACGCACTGTCCACTCTATTAGACACTCCTACTTTGTCAGTCCACCTTGTAGATGTAAAGTCAGAGACGATAGCTCATCTGCTGCTGCACAGTTTGTGTTGGTCATCCTCTAGTCCTTCATCAGTGGTCACAGGACGCTGTTGGCTGGATATGTTTGGTTGGTGGACTATTCTCAGTCCAGCAGTGACACTGAGGTGTTTAAAAACTCCAGCAGCACTGTTGTATCTAATCCACTCAGATCAGCGCAACACACACTAACACACCACCACCACATCAGTGTTACTGCAGGGCTGAGAATGATCCACCACCCAAACAGTACCTGCTCTGTGAAGACCCATGGGGGGTCCTGACCACTGAAGAACAGGGTAAAAGAGGGCTAACAAAGTATGCAGAGAAACAGATGGACTACAGTCTGTAATTGTAGATCTACAAAGTGTTTATTTAGTGTCTATTTAAATTCACACTTTTCCTGTTTACTTTCTATTTAATGTTATTGCTACACCATGGGGTCTGAGAGTAACGCAATTTCAATACTCTGTATGTCCTGTACATATTGTAGTATTGACAATAAAGCTGACTTGACTTGACTTGACTTGACTTGACTATATAGTAAGTGGAGCTGATAAAATGGACAATGAGCGTAGAAACAAGGAGGTGGTCATAATGTTATGCCTGATCAGTGTAGATGTTAAAAGCTGAAATGTTCTAACAGGAGCTTAGTGAGAGCTGACCTTTGAACTGAAAGAAGAAGCGGCCGATCCCTGCCAGCAGTGAGAGGGTGATGAGGTCACCGAGGCTGGCGGCAATTGGTGTGGCCACATTATCAGGGTTGATGCCCACCTTTCGAGATCCAATGATCACTCCCACCACGACCAGCCCTACAAACACAGTGAAGACAAACAGAATCACAATTTAGCTGTTTTTGCTGTTGAGCAGGATACAGGGCTATGTTTCCGGACTTGATGTATTATGCTTGACCAGTTATTGTTAGGTAACGTTGATTTCTGTAATTTTAAAACTGGGAAACGACTGATGAACAAAGAAATTTGCACAATTTTCTCTTTATCCCAACTGTAGCCGGTTAGCCAAAACATGTTTGATGCGTTTGTGTCTATCACTGTAAGAGAATCCATTTTCTATAAAATTAACAACATTCAGACATTTTAATATGACTTCTACTGTGTTGGTTTTGGCCTTGCAATGTATTTGTGCTCATTTTAATAGATAACAGTACAAATGTAGGACAAAACGGTCCATGCCTTTGATCTTTGGTGTTTGTGAACACTTTTAAGAGCACCTTGGAGGGCAAACAAATGCATTCATGACCAAATCAAGCTTTATCTCTCACTTGAAGTCCAGGACATATTATGAATCAACAATACACTGGAAAAGACACTACTGGCAGCAACAAGAAGGATGAGAGACAGCATGAACAACCCATTTAGAAGACTAAAGACCCAAACAGAGGACATTCTGGAGAAACACCATCTATATCAGGGGTCTCCTGGTCCTGGAGAGCTACCTACTGCAAAGCCTAGTTCCAGCCACAATTTGCCCCACCTGCTCCAGCTAGTTAACCTCTTCCCAAGTCTCTGATTGGCTGGATCAGATGTATTGGCGTTAAGTAAGGGGTGGGGCAGTTTATTGGATACAGGTTGGAGCTAAACCCTGCAGGAAGGTAGCTCCCCAGGACCAGGGCTGAAGACCACTCATCTGTATGTTGACCTGGCAGAGAGATACAGTGTCAGAAATCACATAAGCAAGTCTACTTGAGATTAATTGACCACTAGATGCTGTGTGTGATGATACAGTCATGCAGCTGATTGAGAGAATATAAGTTTCCATTACTTGTTAGCTACATTAGCAGTGTAGCTCCAGTGCAAAACTAATGAAACAAACTTCAGAAACTAAGCGTCTTTGCTGATTTATTACATTTGGGGTAGGGAGAAAATGCGTAAATTCAATTTTGTGAAATTTGATTCCCTAAATCTTTGTTCCACAAAGGAAAAAGCTTGCACTAAGGTCTTACAAAAGAAAATATAAAGCATGCTATAAACTGACCCAAAGTAAGAGCAGCGGTAAAGGCTGTGGTCACTCCACTGGCCAACAGTACAGCAGATTGCTGAAGGTCCACTCTGTTCTTACTGATTGCACCCAACACTCCTGCAGCCAGTGTGGCTAGAAAGCCCACCACCATGGCCTGCACCTGCCACAGAGCGACATAGAGAATGGTTGTCACAGAGTTGGTGTCAGAAGTTGGAATTTCTGGGACTGACCTTGGATCTTTGCATATTGTCACTGTCCAAAAAAAAAACAAACAAAAAAAAACACAAGTGTCTCCAAAATGGCAACTTTACAGAAGAAGGCAAAAATGTTCTTTACTTTTAATTTAAGTTAATGTAAAGAGATTTTATTTCAGTCATTTTTGGAGCATTTCTATTGGTCCATTAATCATGAAACACAATGTAAAGAACAGCTGCTGTGTTCAAATGATACAGACAGTTAAAATTGGACAAAAAAAGAGATGCTTGTTTTTCTACACAGTGATGATTTGTGAGTGCGCAGAAAGAGAGAATGACCTGGATTAGGGCCAAATTGCTGGACACAATTAGTATCCGCTTCTTGGGGTTGTCTAACTGGCCTGTGTTGGCCTGGAAGAAGAGACAAAAGTGAAACAAGGAGGACTTAATTCTTGTCTAAATTGAACACTGAATATTGTCGCTGTTGTCACGAAACGTTGCATCTCAGAAATGGTAACTTTATAGGAGAAAAAAACATCCTTAGGTTTTAATGTATGTTAATGTAACAACAACATTCCAGTTTCGGACCATTCCTATTGGTCCATTCATCACAAAATGTTCAGATAATGTAAAGAGTAGCATTTTCAAATGACGTACAATTTTTAAATGTTGCAAAGAGTTACAGGGTTTTGATACATCACTGACAATTATTAAAGATTTTTATTTTGTTGGGATTCAATCAAGAGGTACAATGACAGCATTAGTTATTGCAACATTCTGCTTGACTTCCAACTCTGGTAGTAACAGTACTTTTATCTACTAGTTTTTAGTAGATAAAACTAATTTTTCAGATTATGCAAAATAATGTTCTTCTCGCAACAACAGTGATAATTTCCTGATGTACTTTGTGTGTGTGTGTGTGTATGTGTGCTCACTGCTGTGGAGAGTCTGGACGCAAGAGTCATCTCCAGATTTCCCTTCAAGCCCACTAGAGCAGGAACCAAGATAAACACTTCAGAGATTTCCTTAAACATTTCCCAGTGCTGAAACACATGCAATATGGACACCAAATGACTGAATACAGGCGTGATACGCAGCACTGTTCAGTGAACAATCACTACATATAGTAATATATGAAAATATAGCTATAAATAGCAATATTGAGATGCAGGTCTCACTTCCTCACACACACGATGCGTACTTGCACTGTTTCCATGATCATTCCTGTAGCCACCATACTGAGTCCTGCCAAAACGTGCGGCAGCAGCACCTGAACAGTGATTTGCACAGAAGACTCTGGAAGGTAGCCATCGGTCGAGCGCGTCAGCTTGCAGGTGAAGCCTCTCAGTTTCTGTCCGACATATCTAAACTCCAGCTCAAGGTGTGTAAAAACCATCGTCCATTCCTAGGGTCAGTTTTGTGGGCATCCTCCTGAGACTGACCTAGAGTCGGTTCTTGAAGCCAAGCAATACATTGATCACAGCAACTTTTGTCCCTCATTTCAGTCCCTGCATTATGCGGTAACATTCTAGAAGAGTAAACGATAGAAGACTATGATGTCATGATGGGAATAAAACCCCACAAAGGACTGTGATGTCACACTGGGAGAGTGGAGAACTGTGCTTCTATGGGAAGCAATGTTTGATTGATATTCAGAGCAGCTTCTGGAAATGTAGCAGTCATTCTGCTGACAATCTTTCAAATGTCCTTGCTTCAGACAGATGAAAGCAGTTAAACAAGGTCTTAAAGGAGAACGACTCTGCTGAAGATAATGTAGAGGATTCAGAAGGTGCTGCACCTGTTGATTCCTTGCTTTTCTCTTTTTTCTGCTCCTGCTCTGCCAGTTTCTTTTGTCGGTGTCATTTTGTTTTGAGAACAGATTTGGTCTTGATCTGTAGAGGTCACTCTTTTATCTGGTCATACATGCTCACACACGTCCACACATACTCTCACACAAATATAGGGGGTTATTCCTTCGAAAATGATGCCCTCGCCCCTAACAAAAACTGGAAAAAAAAGATGCACTGAATCATTCCCAAATCAACCTAACAACACTTATCACCCCCCTCCCACCCATCTCACACACATGCACACACTCTCTTACACTTCACTCTTTAGCAGCCCTGCTACAGATGGACTCCTGTGGAAGCCACAGCGTTGTCTGGGTCTGAAAAAGGTTCTGGTGCGCTGCGAGAGGGACACCCAGAAGGCGGCCAGCTTCTTCTCTGTCGAGTGTGTCCTCCGCTGATCTGCGGTCACACTCTGCAGCAGGTCCCCCCTCATCATCTCGCAGCACGCACTCAGACTCAGATCAGTGAAGCAGGTGCAGGCAGCTGGCAATCCAGCAGAGTTTAAAGCGTCTGAAATCAGGTTTCCCCTCAAGCAAATTGTGCATCCAGTTGATCTCTCGTGTGTTGTTCCCGACTGAGAACCTTCAGACCGTTGCTGTTTTATCTCAGAGATTTTAAGAGTGTCCTGAAGTGACGCAGGTAGGAGAGAGCCGGGTGGTCCTTTAGATGTCTGCTCTCTCTCTCTCTCTCTCTCTCTCTCTCTCTCTCTCTTTGTCTCTCTGTCTCTCTCTCTCTCTCGGTGACTCACTGTGTGGGAGGGATGAGCTGACTACCTCTTTTCTGTTCTCTCTTACAGCACCTCCTTTTTTAATCAGCATGACGTCCTTCACTGTTTTTTCCCTGAAGACAGGTGTCCAGTGACATGCGCACACACACGTGGGCATCCTCCCAAAGTGATAGAATCATCTTTATCCTTTTCTGCCCTTCAATCAGTAGTGCTTTCTCAACATTTCATAGACATTCCTTTGTTACAGAGGGGGCTGTAATCATTCTCTCTTAACTCCAGAGGACAGCTGTAGGGCAGTGGAGACAGTGGACAGTGACTCAGCAAAAATATGACCCTGAATAATGACGTAGGACTTATCATGTCTTCTCCTCCTCTGCAGGTATGATAATTGTGTGAGTGTCAGGACGCACTGCTTGTTCTGAACACACTGATTCTGATCAGTTCATTTGTACATCAAGCCTGTATCTTAACTCTTTAAACTCTAGGCCTTTAATTCAGTTATATTGCTATATAAACTGCTATACGCTATTCTGAAACTACTATGAAACTAATATATCAACTCTGTAATTATGGGAGTGAAGATCTGGACCTGGATCCTTGGAGTTTAATGGGTTAAAACATAAACCCAGGGCGGTATGAGTTGATGTAACATGCAGTGTGTCCGAATGCTCTCTCTGTCATTGTGAGGACCTTCTTACGCAATAAGACCACTGCACCAAAACCATCTGTTACGACCTGGATGCTGACGTGAGTCACAGACACCACGTACCCAGACTAGATAAAGCTTCCTGTCATTTGGATTTGTTACCATTCAACTCTCAGCTTTGCATAATGCTACCTGGGTTTGGAATTACATATTAATAATTTTAATGTTATTTACAGTCATAACTAATATATATTTAAACATTTGAAAATGTTTTCATATTTTAATATGTTGAATATCTATTTACTATGATTTTTTGTTGTTATAAATGCTGAAATTGATCAGCACATATAAAATATGGGGCAATCTGAATATTTATTTTATTAAAACTTAAATTGTCAATGCTATAGTCCTCTGCCTGTTTTCTCAGTCATCTTAGAATCATCTGCAGCTCTGTTCATCACTCTGAGACACAAAATTCCTTGCTTATAGTTGACACCTGCTTTCAAAACACTCATTACCTCCTACAAACACTATTCGTTGCCTTATGGCAACACTGTAGTACTGGGTGAATACAAGTGACGGTAAACTGTAACACTACAACATATAGCCCAATATGGAAATGGCTGATCAGTGTTTAACAGTACAATCAATTCAGTAAAGTCTTAATCAGTCCTTGCTATCTTTAAAGATACCCTCATACCTGGATTACAACTCAGAAGGATCACAATTTCTCATCTGGATAGATGTCAGTTTTCATTAATCAGATTAATCCATAAGTGGATTATCTGAAAAATTTAACTTTCTCCACCCAAATCCGCAAATCACTTGCAAGTCAACTGGTCTTGTCTTTTACACAAAGACGCAGCCATTCTCACTGAACTTTTGATTTGTGTCTCAGATTTTGTGTGGTCTCAGCACCTCAGACATATTGAGTTTGCAAAAATATAATGGTGTATTAGTGGTTGCCAATTTTTACTACATCAATTCACTTCAGAAATCTTCAGATCTTTCACATGGCAACTGATGTTAAAGGGGAATTCTACCAATTATTCAAAATTTTCTGGATAATTCATTGGTTGATATATGAAGTCATTCAGAGGGGTTTGATGTGAAATTGTTCATTTGAAGAGAAACTTGCCGACTCATATTTCTGTACAGTGGTGGTGATAGGAACCAGGAGTCCTGATGTCCACAATGCAAATATAGCCAATTTACTAACCAAAAACCCCAGTGAATGTACGCTTTTCTGAGGGGTTTAAGCAGTTTTGTAACGTTTAACGATTTTGTAATGTTGATGGTAAAATAACGGTCAATCTGAAAAGAAAAAATGTTTTATTTGGGGACTATTTTGTCTTAGAACACCCCTCATGTATCCCTCCACCATGAATGGATCAAACTAAATGTATTAAAAGACCTTTTAGATCCGAACCCGAAAACTAATTTAAAACAATGTTTCGGATACCAGACAGTGCATTCATAACCACTGAATGTAATATCTTTCTTTCTGTGATGTTTTTAGAGGCGCTAAACTCCTCAGACGTCTGGTTCCTATCACCACCACTGTGAACAGTTCTGACTCTGCAAGTTTCTCCGAAAGAAAGCATTTCACACCAAACTGCTCTGAGTGACTTTATTGACATGTTAATCATTTAATAATTTAATTAACAGAAGTGTTGAAAAATCAGTGGAGTTCCTCTTCAATTTCTTTAGTTAGAAATGAGAGCTATGTCTTCCATCTGATTGAACAACCTTACAAGTGATATTTATTATTTTTATTAGAAAAAATTTAGCTTATTACTTTAGATCTGTTTTACCTACAGATATGGATACTAACGAGTTCCATTTACTCAGTTACATTCAACTACATTTGATGAATTTATATTTTCAAGTACTTTCAAATTACATCTTTGACTTAATTTCATTTTGTTATGTTGGTTCAGCTTGTGTGCTGCTTTGTGACTGGTCACATTTCTTACTTTGGAGGTTTATCATTCTACTGTAGAGAAAAAGATAACAATACTTTTACTTGAGCACAGGTTTAGGCTACTCTTCCCTGCTCTGTTTATTTATTATTGAGCTAGAATGTCTGAGGCCTAGGGCTTTTGATAGCAGCTGAAGCTAAACAATAAAAGCAGAACTGTCTCTTTATAGGTTCTTAAGTGACAGAGTCACAGATGCTCAGCTGCACATACATGCTGGTCTGCATTATCCACACATAATATAAAATTGTATCTTGTGGAATCCATTGTTTTTTATAGCTTCAAGCACCATAAACCTTATAAGCACTTTCACATGTTTCATAAGTAAGATCTAGGATGACAATTTTGAAAGCACAGCTAAATGGATCCTATTCATCAAAAGATTATCCAAGCGTTGTAACAAATTATGCAGATCTGACTTATTATGACGCCTTGAGGTTGGCGCGTTAGTATTCAGAGAGCCGCTCTGCTGCCTTACTGAGTTTAAATTGGGGGATTAATAAAAAGGTCGAGATAAGAATGCAGTGCACGTCATGTGGCGTCACAGAACAGCTCTCATTTTATATTCTTTTACAAAGTGATTTCATCAGTACAGCACTGACTGTCAAAGGATGGATGTCAGATCATTTTATGATCTCCCCTTATCAGTAGTATAACTTTTTAAATATAAGCAATTTGCCAAGTATTAACTGTCTATTAGATGCATACAATTATCGGGGAAAGTCAGTGGGCCTAAATTTAACAGCAGTTTGACAGAATGAGTCACATGGTTACATTGCATGTCAGGGTGACCATGACACCTACTGAGCAGTCCCTAAAAAACATCAGCATACTTCCTTACACGTGTCCATTTGGCCTGTACACAAGGAAAGAAAAATCAAGCACTCAAACAAATTAACGAAAACAAATGAACGCTCAGAACTAACCTGCACTTCATCTAACACCATTCCAGCGATGACCATTCCCAGTCCAGCGAGCAGAAAAGGAATGACCACCTGCTGAAGAATGACTGAGGAAGACTCTGCAGTTAACACAGCCATCTTCAGACACAAGTATCTGATTCCATCTCAAGCATTTCACGAAGCCTCAATGCATTCAAACTTCCCTTGTCCTGAGGTCAGTGGGATACTGCTCTTGCAGGAATGCAGGAATCGAATAGTATAGAATCCTATGCAGAGCTTTATTATAGTCTATTTAGATATTCTATGAAGAAAAGTGATCTTCCAGGGTTCAGTAATCCATTAACAGTTACCTACGACTCCAGAACACAATGCCTATCTGCAGTCTAAGAGAAACCTGAATGCTATGTCCTTCATCCACTGGACAGCACCTCCTGGGAGGGCTTAGCTGGACCCTGAACTTTGCCATACTCATTTGCCATTTATTTGATGTCCAAATAGAGTAGTAGTATAAGAAACCACAGTCCTCAGGACAAAACAAATGACTACAGAATAGTTAATGACCATGATGTTAGTAGTTAGTAGTTTTTAAAATTTTAATTTTATTTTCTGTTGTGGTAAAAGGAATGGACAATCAAAAACCACACTAATAATAACCCAACAAGAATATAGTAGACTGAATTTATTCTCTTTTTTGTGGCACATGACTGAAATACATTACTGCACTAAAAATGACAGTGGTCATACGATCTATTGAACATTGATTTCAATGTATGCAATATACCTTTTTTTATACCTCTGCTTTCTTCAGTCTTTGGTATAGAATACTAAATTACAAAATGAAACCATGGCTAAAAGCATTAAAATGTGTCAAAAATACAAATACTAGAAGGGTAATAAAAGGCTCCATTAAAATTGAGGTGCAGTGAAATACATGCTACAGTGTGATTCACCTGAAGATTGTGCTACAGCATTTGAGCAGGTAAGTAGTCACATTTCATCATTAGGTCTCTGTGTCAGTAGTGTTCAGACAGATTAGAACAGTGAAATTCCCTTCATCCTCTAAGATATTTATGTTCACTGTCACAGTTTACTGAAGCTTCATCTAGGAAGTTTAGTACTCGATTGTCACAGCTTTAGTCTTCAGATACTCATTGAGAGCCTCTTGACCTGTTGGAGAGAAATACGTTTACAAGGTGTTAGGATGATATGTACATCCACATCAACAGGATCTCAGTATGCACATGTATTTCTAGTTACATTTCCATGTGTATTAAGTAAAATTAATTTTTTGCTGTTATAAATTGTGTGTGTAGGATGTAAATGTTTTATTTAATTAACTCAGGTTAAACAGCTTCCTTTAGGCCCTAAAGCCCTAAAGGCTTCCTTTTTTGTCTTTCTCAGGAAAGTATTTGGAATCTTTGAAAGGCTCTGTTTATATAGTATGTTATTGTTCAGTTTAGGTCTTTTTTGTTGTTTGGTCTTTAATAAAAACAGATTACTACATTGATTCATTATCAAAATAATCACTAGATTACTTGACTACTCATTTAACCAATAGTTAGGCATAAAATCAGCTGCTTATGTTCCCACATTCTCTGCAGTTCTACATTGCACATTCAGGCAAAATGTAAGATAATAAGTCATTTTTTAAATTTCCAAACTACATATCTTACCTGAATACATGATTAGGTAAACGAATAACAAGAAAAGTTTGGATATTCATATATTCAAATAATCAAACCGTCCCTCACATATTATCAGTCATAACACGTGAATATTCATTTAGGTCCAGTCTTACCCAGATCTTTGCCGAAGCCGGACTGCTTGAAGCCGCCAAAGGGTGCAGCGACGTCAGTTTTGTTGTAAGTGTTGACAAACACTGTTCCAGCCTGAAGTCTCTCACTAACGTACAGAGCCTTACTGATGTCCCGCGTGAAAACTCCTGAGGCCAGACCATACTCTGTAGCATTAGCCCTCCGCAGCACTCCATCTACATCACTGAGAGAGAGGGAGACAAAGAGTGAGAGAGAGAGAGAGAGAGAGAGAGAGAGAAAGGGAGAGAGAGGGGTGAGTTTTGGCAGCTGAGAGAGAATGGAGGATAACGGTGGAGCTGTAGTCAGCAGAGTACAGGTGGCAGCAGATGACCCGTACTCACCCATCCTTAAATTTGGAGATGATCATGACAGGACCAAATGACTCCTCAATAGCGATGAACATGTGGTCCTGCACATTGGTGAACACAGTGGGCTCAAAGAAAAAACCTAAGGGGAGGAAAAAAATAAAATACTTCCTTATTTTTCTTTAGCAAAACATAATTTTTCTATATTTTATTTGATTCCAGATAAAAGAATAAAGTAATGAAAAGGGATCTAAATACATAAAAGAGTCCAACACAACAATACAGTTCATTAGCCCATAACTGCCATTCCATCTCATGAGTCTCTTCTCTAAACTGTATAAATTCACTGATGCCATCATAAAATATTTCTACCATTAAAATCATTATAAACAACAGCAATTAATGCCATACTTTTCTTTGCAGTGATGTATTCCTCTGACAATCACACTAATTACTTCACACTATCAGATTTGAAAGTTAAACAACTGAACACTTTCTGTTACCCACAGTTCAATACACATAACAACACAATCAGCTGCAGTCAGAGAGAGGCTGAGAGAGAGTCAGGTTGTGTTCTGTGATGAGCTAATAATTTGCAATGTGAGCCTGAGGAGCAAATGTGTGAATGCATTTTCATGTCTCGATTGTTGTGCTGTGTGCTCGAGTACATTTAACTGACCCAGATACAACACTTTCATCCCTCTAATGATCTGATTATTATTGCATTTCTTCAGTTCTGGTAAGTGATGCTTTGATGGCTTGACTTGTTTGTCATGTGTGGTGATACCTATCTTGGTTTGTCTGTGTACACATAAAATCAGTACAGCACCACAGAAATCAGCACAGTGCCACCCACAATCTGAGCACATGAGGCTAGTAAGTCTGTAGGTGAGCTCTGTTTTTTCTCTCATATTGTTGTCTTGACACACATACACACACACACACCAATATTCTCACCTGGGCGGCTGACTCGTTTCCCTCCACACACAAGCTTGGCACCCTCTTTGACCCCTTTTTCACAGTACTCCACCAGTTTGTCCATGTGGGCTTTGTGGTTCTGGGGTCCATGGTCTGTGGAGCGGTCCAGTGGGTCACCTATCTTCATCTTCTTCACCTCTTCAACCTACATAGATACAGCATTCTGCTGCAGTCCAATCTCTAACGTGCTTCCAGTTATTAAAATCACACAACAGTGACTCCTAGTGGTCACTGAGGAGATTGAGTTATACCAACTCTGTGTTGTTTTAGACAGTTCCCAATCCTGGTTCTGTAAATCCCCTGCCCAGCCCATTTTAATGTTTCCCCTCCCCTATCACACCAACTACAACTCCCAAAGAGCCCATTCATTAGGTGATTAATTGGATCAGGGATGTTTCTGGTGGTTCAGAAAAAACATCAAAATATTTAGGTCAGTGGCATTCCAGGACAAGGGCTGGGAACCATTGGTTTTAATTGAAAGCAAAGCCCCAAGAGGGTCATTTGGTTGGGTTAAATGATACTATGAAACTATGATACTGTTGTACATTTTAAGCATCACAACACTACAAATGTGAATTATTTTGAATTTTCTGACTAATCTGAATAATTGTGAATAACTATTAAAGGAAATCTTGCTTTAACATTTATATTTTTATTCTGATGTATCTTACCACTCTGTGGACAAAAGTGTCATGCAGGGATTCTTCTACGAACAGTCTGCCTGCAGCGATGCAGTTCTCGCCTTTGTTGAAGAACACTGAACTCATCCCCTGCACGCAGAGAGACACAGTAACTGTGAAGAATCTTGCTTAGATGTTCCATGACATTCTCACCACAAACATCATCAGTCTTATCAGAGCATATGATGCACGAGAATCACATTCATACATCCATACATCTCCATATTGTCGCTGTGGTAAGAACATTGGTGTAAACATGTAAAAAAAAAAAAGAATAACAAAGTTTTCTCATGGCAGTGTGTAAGTGGACTGAAAGGCATTCTGACCATTCTGACTGCTTTGTCCAAGTCACAGTCACTGAAGATGATGAGGGGGGATTTACCACCCAGCTCCAGAGAGACCTTCTTCACATTACTGACTGCGCAGCTGCAGGACACAAACACACACAGCAGTAAAAAAAGGTCAATAAGTCTTAAGTTCAGCACTGTCACGCACACTGTTTCTATGAATGGGTCAGAGTTCCCTCACCTTTTCATAATCTGTTTGCCAATCTCAGTGGAGCCAGTGAAGCCCAGTTTACGCACGTCAGGGTGGTCCGACAGCCGCTGGCCAACCAGAGAGCCTTAAATATGTACACACATCACCATTCAAAATCATTCGGAATCACTGTCATATTCATAATTTTGATGTTTTATGCTATACTTCATGTAACAAAAATGTATTAAACAATAAGCTTCAAAATTATTTGCCTTGAAATTTGATCACTAATTTTTAAATTTTATTATAATTTAATCCTTAATGCTAAACAGAATAATCCACATCTAAATGTCAATTCATCATTCTGGATATGTCTAAAACGTTAATTATCTGAAGCCCATTGCACAGGACTAGCATATTAGAATCATTTTACACATTTATCTGCAACAAAACAGGTTTCATGTTATTGAAAACACTTTTTTTGAATGGCTGTATTTTAAAGCACACAGTCCCTTATTTAATGACATTAATTAAATTCCAACATTTTAGAAAGATATTAAAACTGACCATTCACAAATCCCCTAGTGGTGCCAAACCCTGATTCTGAAGAGCTACTGACCTGCAGAGTACAGTTTCAGCCTTAATCTCACATAGTTCTGATAACATGGCTCTAATAATGTTTCTAAAACTCTTGATTAGCTCAATCAGGCATGCTTGATTAGGGCTGCAATTAAACTCTAGAGGGCAGCAGATCTCAACTTTTTAAAACAACAAAACAAAACAAAACAAAAAAACCATTAAGCTTTTTTTGTAAAGCCAATAAAGCAATTATACGTAAAGGTCAGGACAGGGCCAAAATATTTTGATCTTTTTTCAGTTGTTTTCCGAGGGAAACTGAATGTATAGTGAAAATATGTTAATGTGGCATTAAACCTGACTGACTGTACATGTTTAAAAGGCCCATATCCTCCACTTGTCTTGTACTTTATTTTTTCCCTGATGTCCATTTGTGACATTTCTGATGTCTTATCATACAAAAATGGTTGGAAAGACATTTTTACATGACCACTTTCCAAACTGTCTTTATTCCTTAGAATTAAACAGGGTTAAATAAACAGGGTTTTTGCAGCATAGTTTCTTTATACACTGTAAAAGTGTTTTAACTTGAACAACTTTTTAAGTTAAACCCAAAAAATGTTAACAGCATATGGATGGCATGTTTTGAAACTTTATCAGTGTTTACGTACTACTTCAAACTCTAATTAAAAAAAATAATAATGTAATAAATTGTATTATTTAAGTTTAATTAAAAATACAACCGATAAAACAATAAAAGTTTATGTTTCAGGGCCAAATTATTTCAATTTTTGTTTTCAAAGCATATAGTACAAATTGTTATAGTGCCAATAAATTTGCCTGACTGTTAAAAATGACAAGTTAAAAATGTCCTTAAATGCTAAACACCATGAAAGAAAGCACTGGCAAAGAAAACCCTAAAGCACACCTGATCCAGGCAGAATATTGATCACTCCTTTAGGGAACCCTGCCCTCGCAGTCAACTCAGCAAACTTCAGTGCAGTCAAAGGGGTCACCTGGAGTTCAACATTTAACACACACATACACATGCACACACCCACACACACCCCAAACTCAGCTTTATCCAGATTTATCAGTGTGTCGGTATGTGTGTGGGAGTGTGCAAGCACTGCTGTTATAAGCACTTCAGCAAACTGGCATTAGGTTAGATTAATTCACTCCTGACCTGTGCAGGTTTCAGCACCACAGTGTTGCCAGCTGCCAGGCAGGCCGCAGTTTTCCATGCCAACATCATCAGAGGATAATTCCAGGGAATCACAATGGCACACACACTTCACATAGACAAAGACAATATAATATTTAAACAAACACAAATAAAAACATTAAATGCTAAAGCATGAACGCTAAAGCACTTGATTCAGAGATGCCCCAATTAAATGTCTTAATACTATGTTGTTTGGTTGGATATATGTGCCAAGAATAGTTCATTTTGAAAAATGTAATAATTTTTTTTTTAACTGAAATTATTTCACATCATCATTTCCAAACATCTCTTTACCCCTTAATTACAGACTGTTTTTGTTACTGTGCCTTTAAGACTGACATATATAAATGATGTCTGCTGTACTGTGTTTCATTCAGAAGCACTCTGCGCTGAAGCGTTCCTCAGAACTTAAGAATGAATGTGTGCAGCTAAGATACTGTAAGCTAGGTTGAATAGGTGGACATATATGTTGATTTTCATGACTTCACAAAAACAATGAATTCTAAACAGACTGCTTTTATAGCTTAGTTTCCACATATGGATTGTATGGACTGAGGACTGAATGGTATGTTTTGAGGCTTTAACAATGTTTACATGTTACATCAAACTCTTTTTTAAAAAAAAACAAGGAACATTGTTTTTTCCATAATATGGGCCCTTTAAATTACAAAGATCTGTTGGCAGGTCCAGTCCAGTCTTCAATTCCTGACTCTCATAACTACAAAACTTACATATTAGTTTCATAAAGATTAATGCTAAGCCTTTTAAGCACATGACCTTTATATAGGCGATGTTGGAGTGTCTGTGGTCTGAAATAGTGGAAGTTTTACCCGATTGGCTCCTTCTTAGTAAAGGTGAGGTTATGATTGGGGCGAGCTTGATTGATTGGGATGGTACAACCCTGCGGAAGAAGAAACAAAGCAATTTAGACACATCATGGTAATGCGTCATTTCCAGCCATTCAAACAGCCATAAAATAAATACAATCTTCAGACAGTTACATTTACAGCATCTGGCAGACACTCTTTTAAAAAGCAACTTACAATTTAATCATGTGACAGAGGTAGGAGAATCTTGCCCAAGGACTTTTATTCTAGTGTGGGACCCTGATCTAGAGAAGACACACACCTGTATCTTGTCACACCAGCCAGCAAAGTATCTGAATGTCTGAATGGACATGCCAACGTGGGTTTTGAGGGCCAGCGTGTAGACGGCTCCTGAGTCTATGGCCTCAATAGTGGCCAGTTCTTCCTGGTGCTGCTCCATTAGATCTGCCAGCCTGGAGTTGCATAACATAGAAACTATTGATATCCTTTATTGGAACACTTATACATATCAAAGTCCATAATGATAGTCATAAGTAATTCATATTAAAAGTGGAGTCTTTATATTAAGGGAGCATTCTCTCACTTGTAGATAAGTCTGCCTTTATCTCTCGGGTTCATCTTGCCCCACTCGCCTTCCTCAAAAGCCTCTTTAGCTGCTGCCACAGCCTTCTCCACATCTGAGATCTGAGCTAGAGATACATCACAAATCGACTACAAAAGAGAGAGAGAGAGAGAGAGAGAGAGAGAGAGAGAGAGAGAGATGAGATTTGAAATATGTACTGTGACAATAATTGGGAAGTGGCACAGTTAAAATTTTAATATGAATCATAAGAAAGAAAAATAATGTGCAAATAGAGAAAAGAAGCGTGATAATTTTAATTTCCTCCCGAACGCTATCAATCCAAGCTCCCTGAACTTTGGCTTGAAAGCCAAACTCAGCAGACAAAGACCATTTTAATGAACGACTATAACACTAAACTTTATCTACAGTGAAACTGGAGCTTTTATGAACTTGGAGCTCTTCTATTCAAAGACATTAAGACTGCAGCCTCATTGCTCAGGCTATACAGCAGCTCCTTCAGCTCATCTGTAATGGGCGTTTAATGCCAGGCAGTCAATGTACTCTCTCTGTGTACCTCTCCATTGGTGGGGTTAATGGTCTTGTAGGTCTTTCCTCCCTCAGCATCCACAAACTCTCCATTTATAAAGAGCTGGTGGGGCATTCGGATGGTCATATTGTTCACATTCATCTCCACCTGGAACACAGAGGTTTAAAGGGCAACTGTATTTACTGTATGTGGAGCAGCAGCCACCAAAACTCAAAACATGAAACACACATGACTCAAAAACTCCATAGTCCGGCTGAATGTTAAACACTCACATAGTCGACGATGAGCTCTTCCTCAGCGTCCTCCCCTCTCAGCTTTCTCACGCACATCTGGATGAACCCCTGAAACGTTGTCGCCATGTACACATCCTCATTCTGCAGCTGCAGCTGACTGGCCCTCAACTTCACCTCCTCCACCAGCCTGAAGAGAAAGAGAAAGCAGGAAGGGGAGAAAGAACAGCAGAGAAAAATGGAGAAAGAGAAGTTACATGGAATTACATACTGTTTTCTAGAAAAATGGAAACAAGTATAGACAAAATTCTGGAGCTGACATGCCTGCTACTGCACCAGGCTTTGTATAACATACTGTTTTGCATAAAAATGGACAAAGTTGTGTCCATTTGCTAGGAAACAGCAGTATCAGTCATCTTGAAACCTACATTTTGTCCATACTTTTGTACATTTTCATGGATATGTTACACAGTATGTTAAACCTGAGTCTGGTCTCTGTGACCAAAATGGATCTCTATTTGCATTTTAGGGCATTATTACGGATGTTGGCCATATAGTAAAATGGAATTCCAGTGTAATTCTGAAGGCATTAGAATCTCCCACAATGTAGTCTCAGTTTTGAGTGAACATTATAGATCAGGACATTGGCTAAAAATATATTGAAGTTCACTGCAAGCCTCTTATTGAGCTACAGATAGAGTAACGTTAGCGAACATTCACGGTGAACACTGAGCCACTTAAAAAGAAGCTAAGAAGCAGACTCTCTCGACTCTTTGGAGAACCAATGTAAAAAACAGCAGCTCTGTACAGTTAAAAACAAAGACCCTAATGCATTTACTGCCTCATTATACACAAAAAACACTAATTGGTATTTATAGGTTACTACAATTGTGAGCCAAGAATTAAATTAACCGAGCCAAATTTTGTACTTGTGCCGACTTAAGCCTCACCGCAGCAACTGGTGAATACTGACACAAGTTTAAGATGCGAAAACTGTTGAAATGCATTTAGTGATTAACCCTTTTTTTATTACTATAATTTAGTAAAAAAAAAATTTTACTTAGGCACTAGACACTATCTTAATTTATATCATGGCTGATTAAGTACACTGGGGATAAGCATAAAACTGTGTAAACTTCTTTTATTTTGAAAAGATCCTCTGTTAAATCTACATGTGCTTGTGTGTATGTTTACCTGACAACATCCATCGAGGCAGCTCCAGACTTAAAGAAGTCAGTAGAGTCATCAACTTTCTCTACATTAGTCAAAATACTCTTCCACACCACCTGGATAGCACATAAATACACAGAGTTATCTTTTAGAAGACGAAGACCTGCATTAAACCACCCTGGAGGCATCGACAGACATGTTGCTCCCCTCATCACTTCTGATCGAAAATGTGGACATCTGGCATCAGGAGTGTCAATGAATGCCAAGAGTTAAACAATGTATGTGCCAAGCAAATCTAGGTCAATGACGTTGCATCTTCCCTTAGTCTGACAGTACAAAGAGGAAGGGGAAAGATAACACAGATTACTGATTTGTCTAAAATTGATAGTAGTGGTTCTAAAGTCTGATTGGCTGAGCTACTTTTGAAGCTGTAGTAATCAATATATACACGTGACTGTATACATAAGTTGATCTCTGTAATAATGTGCAAGAAAACATTGTTTTATTTGTAGAATAATCTCTGCCTGTTACGTTGCTTGGTAACCAAGTGCTTCTTAAAACAAACTACCATGCTTGGAGGAAAAATTGTTTATTGAGATTATTATAAATAATAAATTAACTCTGGTGTACTTTATCCTATTGTACTTTGTTGCCATTTTATATAAGCAAGAGGGGATTTATTATAGTTCATACATTTTAGCAGCTCTTTGGTAGGCGTGTTACGATCATGACATTTTAAAGTACAAGCCAAAAGTTGCTAGCTGTCAGTAATTAGTAGCTCACAACTGAAAAAAGACACAACTTGAGCTCAAATAAACAAATATTACTCACCTCCGCCCTCTAAACATGTTATAGCACAGAGTTAGAAAGTTTGTTGGCTTTTGTAAAACCCATGACGCGTTCCAATACAGGCATTTTCTGCTTTATTTTATTAACATGTATTTGCCTCAATCCAACAGTAGAAAATGAACCCAATTTAAAGTCTGTTGTGAAAAACTTTGTGAAAGCTAACAATCATGGAAAAGAACTGCAATCAGCTCAAATAGCTGCCATTAGGTGATGTGTAATAACTGTGAAAAGCCTACTCTTCAGAACGAAATGAAACTTTTATTTTTGCACTGAATAGGTGAAATATTATGCGACCACTACAGCACACAGAGTAAAGAATAATGAGTGTATTTTATATGGTTAGGTGAAGGTTAAAGTAGTGTCTGACCCTCATCTGCTCAGAAAAGCTCTTCTCCTCCTCCGTCAGCTCCACTGCAGTGCTGGAGCCGGCCTTAAAATACTGAGCAGCTGCAATCATCTTCCCATCCTCGAACTGCAGGTTCTTCACCAACAACTACACACACAAACAAACAAACACATACATTCAACACTGAGAATACAATCTCTGATATATTTTAAGTGATCACCTAAATCGATTAGTATAAATGGCTTTTATGCATCAATGTTGCGTATAGTCAAATCTGATTGTACAATTAAACGTAAATGTAAATTTCTCCATTTTCTCCATTTATCCCGTTTATTCATTAATTTCATATTTGGTGAATCTGTGTGATCAAACTCACATCTGGTAGAGGCGTGTATTAATTTGAGCGTAATCATTTAACAACCTAAAAAAAATGCTAACTAACAAAACTATTATCAATGTTATCTATAATACTCATTAGAATAAAAATAGAAAATAACAACAATACTAATAATTTGTGAGCATCCCGTAATTATTTTACATCCACACTGGTATAAACAACTGGTGCAACTATTCCATGTTCCATTTTAATATCCTTATATTTACAAATTGGGCTTTTTGTTTTATACTACTGACAGCGGCCAAAAATATACAATACGAAACACAGCCAGTGGAGAAGCATCTCATACACTGCAATAACAGTTTCTAAATGTTATTTAGGAAAATAATCACTCCACACAATCACATCATTGTATCTTATCAAAAAAACTAAGATGTTTTGTTTATTTGACATTTTATTCTGCCCATTAGTTGTAACTGTAACACTATGAAGTTTGGTCAATAGGGGGAGCAGTGCAGCTCACAGCTCAAACTCCACCTACGAGCACAGCCATTGGCCCACAAGCCGCTGAATGCTGCCATTTTATAGGCTCCTTACCAAAACTTCTGCATAAATTAGGGTGTGTTTCAGGTATGTGAGATGTAAACACCATGCACTGAAGCCAATTCATTATTGGTGCTAAAATCTCCACTTGTTTTCTATGTCACATTAAGTTTCATGAACCAGATGCAGAGTAGTTTGTACGTCATTAAATGCAGACAAAACTGCGCTCCTTTTTTATGCAACTTAAAACTCTGTCCAAAGTGAATAAGGGACAAAATACTCTGCATTCTGAATGCATACTTTTACTCTTACTAGCTGCATCTCCTGTATGACCTCCGTCTCTCCGTTTGTCTATGAGAGGGTGATTATGTAATCTAAAAACAAAAGATCTTTTGAGCAAGAAGGCAAGAACAGCCAATTCATGTACTGACTCACTCCACTCAGCCAAGCTGGTCAGAAGGACCTGAATGGGGTTTTACTATGGCCTGATGAGCTGGGACAATACAGTGATCTCTACTTCAGGAGAAATGAGAACACAACACTTTCCTCATCTGAGTGAAACAGCATTTACAAAGTTGCAATGTCTAAATTTGCAGAAATGCATCTGAGATGAACTCGTTCGTCTGTCTAAACCTTTCATCATTCTCATGGCATTTTTGTACTTTTAGGTCTTGTCAGAAATGTGTACATAATGCGCAATGCTCTTATGACAAAGCAACATTCTTCCTGAATGAATGGATTACCTGAGCCTTAATGCGTATTCTCTTTTGACCCCTTAAATGCTAAAGACTCACACCCACTTTATTTCACCACTCTTTCGTAGTTACATAGTAACTAATTAATTTCTAGCAATTACTGAATTATATGTCTAGAGTTTGAGGTTAATTCCTCTAGAATCCTCACCGTCTTGCCATCGTTGCCGAACAGAATCAGGCCATTCCTGGTGACCAGGCCTGGCCGACTTGCCCCGGGGATCTCCAGAGGCTGACCAGTGGTGGAACCATTATCCACCAACGTAGAACCATAGAATGTCACATTCTATCAGGGAGAAAAGAGTGGAGACGACTTAGTTACTATCACTGTTACTAAGGCATACTGTCGCCATTAAAACAAAAACATGGTATCTCTTTTTTTTTTTTTAAATAGAATTTGAAAATGCCAGCTGCCTGTTACATGTTAAACCGCAAATGGACCAAGAAGAGGTTTTGCCGCAACACTGACTATATATATTTTACTTCAGTCAAATATTTCAGTCTATATGTGGGTGAGCTTGCTGGAGTAGGCATGTGACTGGGTATGTGTGCGAGCCCTTATGTGTGACGAAAGGATGGAAGTGTGAATAATAAGATTTATCATGCTGTATGTTTTGCAAGACACATGATGAGCAAGATCATATTTGAGAAATGTCTGGCCTGTTACACCATACTACTAAATTGTAGTCACAGTAAAAAGCATACAATGTGTGCATGACATGACAAACCTTTCCATCAACCTCTGCCCAGGCTCCAGGAACTTTATCGTTTCCTCTGATCCAGTTATGGATGGCCTCAGCAGGCTGATTCCAGTCAATCTACACAAACACAAACACAGAGTACATTCTTGTTTAGAAACACATTGTTGGAGGCTATAGACCGAGGGTGCTAAAGATTACACATGGGGCCCTATCTTAATAGGTGCACAAAGACCCATAAAGTGAGATACAGCACTACAACATATTGGGATTGGATTGCCCTGTATGATCTATATTGTGCAATGAGGATAGTCTTCTTGCAACCAAACAGGACTCAAATGAGAGAACACATGGTGAGGTAGAGGGATTTTTGTGAAAACGTACTTGCAATAAGAGCCTCCCCCCCTGAAGAACAGCTAAAGATCACCATAATGTTGAAATAAACTATGATACTTTCAATTTGTTTTCTTTGGCAAGCCATCAACCAGTGCATTCGTGGTATTTGGGTCACATCAAGGTCAGTTTTGGGTATTTAACCAATTCCCGGTACTTGTGTTCCTCGGTACTGGAAATGAACTTGGATGGTAGAGGATGTCATAAAGTCCACAAGAACTCGAAACAATATGTAATGATGATCACCTTAAGTATGCCATTTCTTTGATGTACACTGCTAAGATAAGTAATCTGATTGGCCAAGAACATCTTCATGTCCTTGGCATGGCAATGTGGCAGATCATTGCCACTGCTTGAAAACAGGGCCCACAATGTCACAAAAACAAAAACGACAATCAGTGTAATGCACCACACCCACCTTTGCATTGTCCTTTTTCTGAATGCCCTCATATGTGGCTCCCTCCTCTGGCTGCTTGATTTTGGGAGCTTTACCTGCTTCAATCAACCTGACTGCCTCAACCTTGAATACAGAAAGACACATAAGAATCTAACAGTACCATGACATTTTCATGCTACTATGACATACGCTGTCATTGGCCACTGTAGAAGTACATTTGCTGAATGAGTGTATAGCTGCTGTTATGAACGTATTAGCTTCCTTCACTGATACTCACCATGCCTTTGACTCCTTCTGGAAACAAGAAGCGCTTATAGATGGTGTTCACTGTGTCATCAGGTTCCACATCACACTCTTTCTGCAACAGGATGGGTCCAGTGTCAAGTCCATCATCTGCCCAAAACACAGTGAATCCACCCTTTTTGTCACCATGCATGAGAGTCCTATAAACAATACAACAATCAGTCTTTTTACCATTTTGCCATATTAGCAGTCAAAAACATTCACAGCATTGGTTTCCAGTGAACATATTAAATAAGCACATAAACACACATGCACACACTGACCAGTTGATGGCAGAGGCCCCTCTGTGGCGAGGCAGCAGTGAGGGGTGGTAGATGATGGACCCATGACGTGGGTGGTCTATCACCTCCATAGGGATGAACTGAGAGCAGAAGGGCAGAACGTTGAGCTCAGCACCCACTGCCTTATACTGCTCCACCACCTCATCAATGGCCTTTCCCTTCAGCCGCCAGCGCGGAAACTTAAACACCGGCACACCGTCCTTCTCTGCTTCAGTACCTGGTGAATCCACATTTGCTCAAATTGGCATCAGGTGTGTACTAACAGATTTCATCGAAGGGCTTTTTTTTAACCCCTTAAACCCTAAGGGCCATAGTAGTTTCCAAAATAAAATTAAGTGGTTAAAGAATAACAACATTACATTTCATGGCATTAAGCAGACGCTCTTATCCAGAGTGACTTACAACTTTAACCTTGTTACAGAGGAAGGGTAGCATTGGGAGTCTCATTCAACAACCCTTATTGTTATACAGTGGTGTTCTGGCCTAGGTGGGGAATTGAAACCCAGTCTGTCACATGGAGGGTAGCAGTGTTATCCACTATACCAAACAGTTTCATATTATTCAGTTATTAAACATGATTACTCAGTTATTCACATTATATAACACTTTTCAGTTCTTACAGAAGATTTATAACTAAAAAATACATCTACAGTTAAAAGTGTTGACCTAATGTCTGACAGACTTTGGCTTTGTTCTCTTTCACTCATTAAATGGCTGGAACTCTGGTCTCCAAACACCTATTACACATTCTTTAACCTAAGAAGACCTCAGCCACGTTTGCACTGTAGTGCATTTTGTTACTGAATAAGAATGGGATTGTAAGGGGTTCCCTCTGTAAAAATCTGGCAAGGTAAAGTGGATCAGCATGTGGAAATGCTGCTTTCTATTTCTATCACTATATAAAAGGAGCTCCATGCTGTCTTTATTATTGGAGGCAGTGCAGTTGTTTCTGAGTGAGCGTGCATGCACATTCAGAACACTAAGGGTGCATTAATATTGATTTGTTTTATCAGAGTAACAACACAACTTAAGTGTGAAGTATAGTCCTATTCATGTGTTTGGCAGGTTTGAGACAAAATTAAAACAAAAAAAAAGCAGATTGTCAGCTTTGTTAGAAGCAGTTAATAAACCAATGCAAAAGGCATCTATTTTTGACATTTGTCTATTTAATCTTCTCTTCCACTTTATCAACTTATAGTTTTACATTTATTTTGATATGTACAGACCAAAATAAATGTGACAAGAGCACTCAGAAATGATGCTGTTAAAGTAAAGGGGCAGGCATAGCTGCTTTTGGTATAGACAATAAAGGATTGATTGCTTTGTGCAGTCCATAAATAACAGAGTGAGGCAAAAAGTCCTCAGCAACTATGAAAGAGTACTACAAATAACATAACTAAATTCAACTGTTAACACAGCATGTGGAATCTGAGTGGAAACAGAGTGCTTCACATATGCTTCCTTTGACCCAGTAAACAGTGTGTGCTTTTCATCTAACTGAGACTACATGGTCAATAACAGGATCAAGACTCTTTCACCTTCCGCTGATCTTTCAGTTGTCAATAGCTCAATATCAAAGCTCTGCAAACACCACACAGTACAGATCTTGCCTCCACCTGCTACCGTCAAGCACCAGATCCAAGTCCAAGTCTTAAGTCAAAACCCTTGCACAAGACAAGATAAAAGGCTCAGTGCATTCCTAAAAAGCTGGTTCTCTATAGGCTCTTTAGTAAAGGGAATGGTTCTATTTAAAACCATGAGATCGATATAGAACTATTTCATGCTTCAATGGTTCTTTGCATGGTGCAATGGTTCTTCAGACTGACAGAGAATGTGTTATATGGTTCTATATAGAACCTTTTTGAAAATGGTTGCATATAGCACCAAAAAGCATTTTGCTATTTTACAATGTCAAGCTTGTAACAGTAAAAGAACCTTTTTGCCGCAACAGAACCATCAATCTGAAGAACAATTTTACTTTGCAAGTAACCATTTAAGCTTAAAATTGGTTCTGTACTGAACTCATGGTTCTAAACAGAACCATTCACTTTGCTTAAGAACCCTAGGAGAACCAGCTTTTTAAGAGTGTATGAGGAGGAATATGAGAGGAACCAAAAAATCACCTAGTGGGTCGGCTTTGCCATCTTTGTCAGGTATGGTGAACACGCCAACGATAACGTGACCATCTTTCTTCAGCTCTTTGTACACCTCTTGTCCAAAAAGGCTCTGGCCAATTACAGCAATCTTCATCCTGGACAGTCAGTGAATCCTGAGGACAGACAAACAGACTCACACTGAAGAGGAGAGCTCTAAAATACACTCTACACACTAACTCTGTTAGAGTGGATTCAGGTTTGCAGACCATCAGGTTATACGGGTTAGTGTGTTAGTTTATTATAAGATGCTGTATGTCTTCTTTTATTCAGTTTCCCACTACAAATGGCTTTTTAACTACCTACTTACAAGACTTCCTTTAGAACATGTAGCTGGAATGCTAACTGGAATGAAAAGGAGTTTTTAAGGTGTCCTCATGGACCAGAATTCCTATATCCACTCTATAGGTACGTTTCCATTTACATTTATGATCTAAATAGCACTATTAGTAAGATTATTAGATTATTTTGCTATTTACAAAAGTAATGCAACTCCAGAAAACCCACAATGACACGATTCAAGCAAGTGAACTTCAAGAGTTCATCCGCAGGATACACAAGTAGACCGTGGGGTGGTCTTTAAATAACTCCCGCCCAATCAGAGAGGGGGGTCTGCTCAGGCGCACTGGAGTGGCTGTAGAAATATTTGCACTCATATGAACTACAGTGACACTTCCAAGTTGCAATATGAGAGCAAACGAAACTAAAAGATGGATTTTAACCGTCTTCAAGAGCCTCTCCTCTGCATTCAAATCTGCTGCTCAGTCACGCTGACTGCAGCTACTCATTCATTCTCATAACTAGCATTTCTTGCCGGTTAGATTCCGTCTTTGTTTAACTCGGCGAGCTGTCAGCCCGCAGACCCAACGCGACGTCCTTCCGTTTTCTGCACATAAAGTGCAGCACATAAGCACAAAGCCGCTAAATTTACAGTCCAAACTGCAAAAAAGTGACAGGTGAGATTTCCATACGAGTGCACCAGCTCGGCTGTGTGCAGAAGCAGAGCTCCACGTACCCTCGCACGTCCCCTAGACCCTCCTGGTGTGTGAAAGAGTGAGAGGGCTCCAGTTGCAGCGGGGCGCGATTTATTCAGGCTGCGGCTGAAACCCGCCGCTCCGCCAATGGCCTTCACCGGAATTACACAACTGAAAACGAGCTGGAGGGGGCGGGGTCACTTCCGCACGTCTCCTAACAACATACGAGTTCAAAACACGGTTCAGACCGAGTATCGATTCAGCTCAGCCTGCTCTGCGTTCACATGCATAACACAAAGCAGCCTGTGGTCTAAGTATCGGTACAGTTCACACAAGGGTGTAGCTAGAACTTCAGAATGAGGTGGTCAGGTAAGACCCAGAGATTTTATTGGGGTGGCGTACCGCTAATAAATAAATACTTATATACATAAATAAAATAGCATTACTGTATTGAAATGAAAATTAAATGCTTGTTTTTTTGCTGTACATAACTAAATCTGTCCATCATTTCCACATATATATGTGGAATATGTAATAAAATATTACATCAATACAGCTGAGTATACTGACCCAGATAGCAAGAAGAGAGCGGGCCACGGTTGGTCCAGTGACGGCCAAGCTGGCGACCCAGCCGTTTTGGAAAACAGGCCGCTCTTGTGCCTTTCATTTTCCAAACATGATTGAATTAATTCGTTTTCACTCTATTTTATTTTATTTATGTTAATAGTGATTTCGCAGCAACCATTCAAATACTTAGCAACACCCTAGCAACCACTAAAGATACCATAGGAACACCCCCGCAACCACCTGGAATACCACAGCAACTGCCTAGAAACACCCTAGCAACCACCAGAGATACCATAGCAACACCCTAACAACCAGCTGGGTTACCACAGAAACCACTTTGCAACACCACCAGGGATACCATAGCAACTGCCTAGAAACACTGTAGCAACCACCAAAGATCATAGCAACTGCATAGCAACCAGCTAGGTTACCATAGTAACCACTTAACAACACCCTAGCAACCACCAAAAGATACCACAGTAACCCCTTAGCAGTACTCTAGCAACCAGCAAGGATACCATAGCAGCTGCATAGCAATCAACTGGGTTACCATAGTAACAACTTAGCAACACCCTAGCAATTAAGACAAAACTGTTGATGTAGCGTGTTTTAGTCATTCATGAAGAAATGATTAAATGTGGCACTTTTTTCAGCGCACACCTTTAACATTAAATAAGCAAATTGTAATTTATTTTCCAAAATTAACTAAAATTATCAACAGAATATGAAGAAATACCAGTTTTGACGTAATGTAAAAGACACCTATGTATTGTGTTGCAGAGATATCTACTGAAGTTAGCATGCTAACAAGCTAGCCCCAGCACGTTGTGTCTTGTTATATCGCTTTGTACTTCAAGAGATGATAGTGAGTCACTGTAGCATTGAGTCTGCCATCTGTCCAACGTAAGAGGATGAAGAAGCTGCTCCCGGCAAGAAATCACAAAGAAAAGAAGGTACATAAACAGAAGCAAAACAAGAGTTAGCATTGGTATTGCTTCCTCCGCTGGACACAGCTCTTGGTGAGTAAAGAGATGAAGTTTGATGCTGAACTCGCAATGTTTCTTCTAGATTGGCAAGTAAACAGGGAGGAGTGAATAGGGAGAATTTGACAGGTTCCCTGATAGCAAGAAGACCACTGCTGGCCCGCTGATGGCAAAGCTGGTGGTCCACTGGTGGAGTATTAGACAAAATTCCACTTATCATCATTTTCCACTCACAGTCCTATTTACTTATTTTTCCTTCCTTCCTTTCTTTAGTTATACTTTGTAAATTAATTTAGTAAATAATTTGAATCTAGCACAGTGTCAGCAACAACATGTTCTATAAAATCATTTTACAATAGACCTAGTCATTATTTTTTGTCTCTCCGTTGTTTGTAATATCTGTCTGTCCGAGGGCGGATCAGCAGTGGCAAACAGTCAGTGGGTCTTATCAAGCCAGCAGAGCAACATATGCTTGCTATCTGGGTTGCATCATCTTACATATTGCTCCTTTAAGAAAAAACATTTTGTATAGACAGGCCATAGTAGGTACTCATTCAAGTTGCATTCGCTACAGGTTATATATATGTGAGTGTGATTAGAAAGCCGACCAGACAGCACTGTAAAAGGTAACCTACAACACAAGCATTTATTCAACTGTAGAAAGTAATTAGTTATCATGATACATGATTATAGCTGACTAATATTTGATAGTTATCTCATCTTACCACCACATATCCTACTTCATCATGTAGCACACAGAGCAGCACTGCTGAAGGGACCCAGTGGTTTCCTGAGTACATTAGCCATTCACAGCATGATACGCTAATTATTAAACAAAACGTCATCATAAGTAATAGTTAACCACCCTGATGGCAGATTTTCACCATAAAGTGTACTTGATGCTTTATTAATGATAACTGACTGAAGATGGCTGACTCTCTCACTTTCCATCTCTGGGTGGCCAGAAGGGTGACAATGCTTCATTCCAGGGTGACACTGGCCACGCCGACCACCCCTTGGCTACGCCTCTGAATTCACACTGCATGTCTGTGCTGCTTTCAGATGCTAAGTAACGTAGACCAGTTTTTCGTGTTTTATTTCATTATTGTTCTGTGTGGGGTGAATTCACACTTTAACCAAACCCACTCAAATCAAGAATGAAGTACATTTAAAATTGGTATAACTACTTATCTAAGTTTCTATGGCTCAAGTTAAACTGCACACCAAGGTTTTTTCAGGACACTCCCAAAACGAACCAGATTTTAATGCTGTGTTTTAGTGCAGTCATTTATATTTAGAATATTGTTTCTTGTTTGGTTTTACACAAGGAGAGTTTTACTGAATGACAGCAGTTTAGAACATAGATAAAACGTGTCTGTGTTAGTAGAAGGGGAGATGTGTAAAAGGGATGGTTGATGTAGAGAGAGAGAAAAGGTGCAGAGGACTTTAATAACAACATTATTGGGGAAACACCTCTGTTTTAATTTTCATGCTACAAACAATGTTTTCACTCTTCTTTTCTCTTGTTTATTCATATTTTTATTTATAAGACATGCCAATCAACATTGCTGCATTGCAGCACATTTTGCTGATGTGCACATCCTTAGATTAAATGAAAATGTAGCAACTGCACATTTTGCAGCTTAATAAAAAAAGTATTTTTATTATTTTAATTTTTTAATATTAATATAAAAACTATTCATAACAACAACAACAACAACAACAATAATAATAATAATAATAATAATAATAATAATTGCCATTCTTCTTCCTCCTCTTCTTCTTATTGTTGTTGTTGTTGTTGTTGTTGTGTGTGTTTCTCTAGAATATCCTGTCTTCTGTAGGCTTCTTGTTGATTTGCCTGATTCTTCTGATTGTCTCCATCCAGTGTCTTCATGCAAACGCATAACAAAACTATATGCTTAGCGTTTTAAAATAGCATTTCTTATGCTATAATACTCCAGTACTGTTTATTCTTGATGTATTTGATTTTAAGCACACATGCAGCAACATCATTCATTCATATTTGGCGCACACAGACCTACAGCAACATCTTAGTGACATTAATTTACATTTGTTTCACACACAGCAGGTCATCTGCACTGTAAAAAACAATTCAGTGTTTTAGCTTAAAAAAATGAGTAACCTGGTTGCCTTTAATGAGTTCACTGAACTTCAAATAATACATTAACACAATGTAAAACACACTGTTCTGTTAACTTACTATTAGAAGTTAACAGAAGAATAAAATGTTAAGACAACCAGGCCACTTACCTGTTTAAGTTAAAACATTGAATCATTACAGTGTGTAGTTAGCCAGTTATCTAACATCTAACATCTAGCAAGTTGCCCTGCAAACTAAACAGGATTCTTGAAATGCTGAGTCATTCAGTTCAGTTCACCTTCAGTTACCTTAACAGCAGTGATGCAATGCCAAGTCAAATGAATGAAGATATGGTGGGCTTTGCTGTGGCGATAACGGGAAAGGGCCCAGAACAGTTTTGGCTGATTTTTCATGACAGGTTTATGAAGTTCAGTTACCTAATCAGACTCTCTGTGCCAGGACAGCAGGATGACTTAACAAACTTCACAAAGTTTACCCACCATTTGATGTTACTGACCTTGGTGCCACCATAAAGTGGCTTTAGGATCAGACAGTACAGTAAACGGTTGGGGATATAGACATTGCTGACTGACCAAAGGTCACAATTTCACTCTGTTTCCAGTCATATGATTATAAAGGAAGTAGACAGTAGTTAAGCAAGCAACACACACATGCATACACTCATATACACATACATACCCACAGGTGGGGCTGAGACAGAAGAGGAAAAGCAAGTAGAATCAAGAGGAGCTGCAAGTGAGGCATGAAGAGGCCTTAGAAATCATTTGTATTTACCACTGCATGGGTTAACTATTACATGAGCTCAGTCAATACACACTGAAACAAGCGATAGACTGAATTTACTTAATTTAAATGAGCGCATAATTTCCACATTCATGCATAAAATTTGCTGCACCAACACAAAAACAGCCAAAAGTTAGGACACTGAAAGATGCAGTGTTGGTGCAGTATAATTTATTCATGTGGAATAGGTGCACACATTTGAATCAACTAAGTACAATGCGTCGTTTTTTCATTGTATATTTTGCCAAAGCACTTGTTATTCTTATTTTGAAGCAGCTTTTGAAAAATACAATCACCCTTAAAACCACACACAGATAGAAAAAAGGCCTCATGTTGTTAGTAAAAGGAACTGAAAATAACTCATTATTGTCAATGTCGGAAATTTGTTTGAAAAATAAAATTACCTGAAACAAGCTCCTTACCTTTGTCGTTAAAGCGACAAAAATCAGATGGCACACTTACATAAAATTTACAGCATTTATCTAGAGTGACTCACGAAAGTGCTTTGTTGTCCACTCAGAGAATGTATCTAGGTAATACAAAGGTTAAAGGGTGAGTCCAAACTACCATTGAGCTAAGACACTGCCAGAAACACAAGCCACTGTTGATATCTAGAAAGAAAGATCAAGTTCAATAAACTGCATTTCAATAAGTGCTAGATTAGTGCTCGCTTAAGTGGTTCACAGAGAGA